CCTCCTTACTCAAACATTCCCTTCCAAGATCATCCCTTCCCAAATCATTCCAAACCAGAAATTCTTTTCACAAACCTTCCTTTCCCGAATCACCCATTCTCAGATCATGCCTCCCATGCCAGTCTGTGCTGGTCCCTTCTCACAGTCCACAGCTGCAAAGTTTCCGTGGGCATCATTTGCTCCTTTTTCCTGAGCTGCCCTTGAAGATGGGAGAAATTGGGATGCTTCAGTTATGGAATCATGGGATGGTTTGGGTGGGACGGGACCTTAAAGCTCATCCTCTTCCACCCCCCCCCCCCCCTTCCACTACCCTAGGTTGCTTCAAGCCCTGTCTAACCTGACCTTGGACACCTCCTTGAACATCTTCATGACTGTCCAACCTGCCTTGAATCTTCATGGACCACCAGAAGAGCTGGAGAAGTGAATAAATTCCATTATTTCCCCCTAGAATGCCATCCCTGGCTGCAGCTGCAGCCCCTTAGCTCCCTTCCCTGTGGGAACCCAGCTGGAAACTCAGTGCTCCTCATCCTCCTTCACAGTTTGGAGCCTTCTCAAAGAACTGGGAGAAAGGGTTCAAAATCTTTCCAAAAATTTCCCAAGCCCAATTTGATTTTAAAAATCAATACATGAGTTTCAGGAGGAAAAATGTAAGTAATTTTAAACTTCATCCTTGTCATTGTTTGAAAAGTTTCTTATTTTGATATTATTCGAGATTAGTAATAAGTTTATTACTAATTTTATTTATTACTATTTAGTAGGACTTGTAAAGCCAATCTGTCTTGGTTTGAAAAGACAGGTGCCTGCTAAGGAAGGTAGGAGCCTCCCCTGAAGTTCAAAATGTAAACCCCCTCCATCCAGATTATTATAATTTTGAAATTAAGGGGCTTTCAGGCAAAGATATGGGAGTAGGAATAACAGCTCTTTATTAGGGAAGAAAATAAAAATAAAATTAAAAATGCAATAATATAAAACAACACTGACAGAGTCAGAAGAGGAGCTGACCCCCTGTGTGTCAGGATGGTGGCACAGCCCCATGCCATGGGGGCTCAGCCCTCCTGCAGTGCCAGCTGTGGCTCTGCTGCAGCAGGGATCCTGCACAAGGGGGGAGTTTTCCTCTGCAGCTCCAGGGCTGCTGCAGATGGGCCTGGGCTCCCTCTGGCCATGCAGGGCAGCAGAAAGCTGCTCCTCTGGCCATGCAGGGCAGCAGAAAGCTGCTCCTCTGGCCATGCAGGGGGCAGAGGCTGCCCTGGTGTCCCAAAGCTCAGATTGGATCCAGGTAGGAATGCTTGGCTCCTCCCCTGGGCGCAGCATCTCCCCGTGGGATGCTGGGATTGGATCAGCCCTGCAGGGACACTCAGTGGCCATGGACAGCAGAGATCTCCTGCAGGGAGGATTGGCTGTGGAAGAGATAAAGATAAAACTGCCCCATGGACAGCAGAGAACTGCCCCACTTCTAACAGATGGTGATAGAATAGACACCCTCAGCTATGTCTTCTAACCTAAGACATCTTCCTAGGTGGAAAACTGCTTTTCCAGGGAAGTTCAAGAGCAGGAATAGTGATAACAGACCAGGAAAAGTGAACATTTTTTATAGCAGGAATTCTGCTCAGGAAGAAGCTCTCAATGAATTGACCCAATCCCAACTTTTGAAGGTTCAGTTGTCAAAGTCCTGGATTTGAAAGTCCACTCAGGAGTGCTGGAAATGGATGGTTCCCTCTGCTCTAAATGGCAATTTGTAACTGGGGATGAGCAGCGGGAAATGCAGGAGACTCCCTGGACTGACATTGTCTTCCAGCTGTCACCCTCTTCCATCCTTTTCCAGAGAGAAACTTCCAGTTGCTCCACCTCATCTCCTTCCATGGAAATGCTGTTCATATTCCTTAGAAATGTTGAACTTTTGTGTTCCCTGTGCAGAACAAGCCTTCCCAGGATGTTTGGCACCATTTCATCCTCTTATCTCCGGAAGATTCCCTGCCTGGGAATTCAGTAATCACCAAAATCCCTTTTTCCACATAGAAGTCACTCAGACATTCATCCAAATCTGCAAACAATGCAAACAATTCTTTGGCACCAGGAAGAGGTGCTGACTCCAGAGAGCTGGGAATCAGGGCCCAGTGTTGGTTTAAACACTCTGCATCGGATTGTGGAGAGAGGAATGAGCCAGAGCAAAATGGAAGGAAAACATGGGGAACTAAGGACCTTAATATGTTGATGGGCAGAGAAGAGCTGTCTGGAAGTAGAGAACAGGGAAATACAGGTCCTGCACCTGGGGAGAAACAACCACCCCAGGCTGGGGGGACTTGCTGGAGCAGCTCTGTGGAGAAGGACCCAGGTAGAACAAGGTGTCTCTGCCCAGCAGACCAACCTGGGTACAGAGAGCCAATGGGATCCTGGGACCATCAGGAAGAGCATTCCCAGCAGGCCAGCCAGTGATCCTGCCACTCTGCCCAGCCCTGGGAGGTACCTCTGGAGTGCTGTGTCCAGCTCTGGCTCCTCAGCACAGCAGGGACAGCAGCTCCTGGAGCAGGGCCAGCTCAGGCTGTGAGGATGAACAGGGCCTGGAGCACCTGGGTGCCCAGGAAAGGCTGAGGGAGCTGGGGCTGCTCAGGCTGGAGAGGAGCCGCAGCTGAGAGGGGCCCTCAGCCCTGGGTGTTCCTGTGTGCAGGGAGGGGCAGAGCAGGGCCCAGGCTCTGCTCCAGGCCCAGCAGTGGCACCAGAGCCACGGGCAGGGCCTGAGCCCAGCAGTTCCCCCTGCACAGGAGGCACAACTTCTTCTCTGTGCAGTGCCCAGCCCTGAGTAGAGCCCGGAGAGGCTGTGGAGTCTCCTCCCTGGGGAATTCCAGAGCTGTGTGAACACAATCCTACGCCCTGAGCTCTGGGATGGCCCTGCTGAAGCAGGGAGGGGGCACCAGTGACCCACTGTAGATCCTCCAATCTGACCCATCCTGGAGGATCCCTCTTCCCATTCCGGGGGCGCAGTGGAGCCTGTGCTGACCCTGGAGCCATCGGAGCTGTGCTGCATTCCCATCCCTCCTCTCCTTCCTCACCTCCTGCAAGGAGAGAACAGCTGTGTTTTCCTGCCATCTCTTGGGCCTCCTTCATACCTCACCAAATATCATTGCAGAGAGACAAATCACTGTGTTTACAGTGCTCTGTTTACAAAAGATGCTCTCAATTTAGGGTTTTTATTATGATACTTTATTTTTAGGGCTCTCTGCATGATCTGTTTGTTTGCATTAATTTGAGTCAAAGGCTTCATAATCTGATTATGGGCAGTAGGGCTTGGGAAGAACTTATAAAAAACTCAGAGTCCAGCAATGCACCTGCATTCCTGGGCACTGGCTGGGTTTGCTCCTTGATTCTCAACTTCTTCCTTTCCCAGGGCTTTTTCTGGAGAAGAAAGGTTCTCATGTATCTGTGGCCAGGAAAAGGGACAGTAAAGGTAACACAACAAGGACTTTGAAGACTTGTTCCTTAACTTCTAAAAGTGTTCCCTGGCTGTGCCCTGTGACCCAGGACTTGCCTGTTCACGAGTTTAACAGATCCATAGTTACGAAGCAGAGTGATGCAGACTCCCCAGGCAGGTGCAAGTGAGAACTCTTTATTGCAAAACCAGGACTTTTCAAGCAGTTAGGCCTTTATTAGTTACATTCCATTTAACCACAACAAATGTAATTCAACCAATCACCATAAACCACAATGTGAACATGTAGTAGTTATACAACTTATTTTTCTACCTCTAATTCATCTGATTCACTTTCCCATAGTCCTTTTCTACTTAGTCAAAGTAATAGGCCTGAGCCATATTTTTCGAAGGGTAACAAGGCCCTTATTTTGTAAAGTTTTGCCAATATCAACATCTCCCCCTTTGTTTTTTGTGCGAAGGGTTCATGTACCCTAATGCCAAAACAGTCTGCACCTGTAATAATCTTATTAAGACTATTACTGGTCATCTGCTGGACACAGGATAAGATACAAGGAACACAGATCACAATCAATAAAAACCCATCAAATATAACCATGCCACTGACAAAGACACTCACAGCAGAGGAAAACAAAAAGATGGTGTCCAATGTCCCCAGGAAGTGGAAAGAAATGGGTCCTCTTCCAAAGTTCATATGGCTGGAGCTCAGAGGCCGTGCTGTTTAGGTAGGAGGAAGTCCATTAGATAGAAATGCTGTCTTTGACATTACTGAATGTCCTTCTAGAAGCATGGAACAGGGAATAACTGAAGAAGGTCAGCAGGAACACAATACAGTGGGTGCAGTGCGACACAAGCAGGCTGCCTTCGTGAGCTTCCAGACAAGGCCATGTCCTGGCAGTCCTACCCCTGCTCCTGCATTGGCACCAGGGCTGGGCTGTGATTAGGTCATTTCTCCTCTCACTGGGCCTCATCTCCTTGGAGGCAATCACTGTTTGTCCAGACAAGCAGGTAACCACTTTAGACCTGTTGGCAATAAAAACACACGCCTACGTCTTCCCCTAGGTTAGTAAATCAGCTCGGCCTTGCCATTGCACATCCAGTTGTGGATCCTTATGTAAAACTTCTAGAAACTGGTTCTGTCATAGCCAGCATTGTTCAGAGTGTCACAACCTTCGCAAAGAAGTGTCTTGAAAAAGACACCTTGGGGGCACAGGCACGTCTGTGCTCACACCAGGTGATTTCAGCTCTTCTATGATCCAGGCAGTGCAGAAGGAGAGACAGGGTCATGGTGTGGTGTTCCAAGGAGACCCTTTATTGAGCTTCCTCCTCAAAGGGATCCAAGAACAAAAGAGCCACTCAGGCATGGAAAGCAAGGGTTTATATAGGGATATTGAGGGGTGGGACAGAACACCAGGACGAATGGGATGAGGGCACAGGGGTGGAGCAAGAGGGAAGGGCCAATGGGATACAAGGAATCAGCATAAAAAACCAAGGAGTGCGGGGGATGCTCTTTTTGCTCACCATACCAAAGGGGTTGGGGCTTAGGGGTCAGTCCCCCAGGGGAGGGCAACAGGCTTTTGCTTGGCCAGATTTCTGGCCTCCACAGGTTCTGTATCGGCAAATCTTCAGAGCAGTATCGCTCTGTCGGGGATCAAAATTGATGATCTGCTTTCAAAAATTCTTGTGTAAGTATTGCATTATCTAAATGTTCTTGAGGAGCCGTATTCCCCCTTCTTTGTTTTTTCAACATGCACGTCTCTCACTATGAACACGAAGGCAACATAAAAGTAAAGCAATGTGGCAAAGCAATAAACTCACACCAAGCAAAAATAAGCAAGGTAATACATGTAATAATTAGCACACAAGAAAAAGCATTGTTATTTAGAATGATGCATCATCAATTGCCTAAATATTGTACCATCACCGAGAGTCTGCAATAGCTGGCAAACCCTGATTCACAATGAGGACCCAGAGAACCATTCCTGGGAAAAGTTTCTAGGTTTACCTCAAAAGGGGGTCCAGCTTTTATAAGCCCAAATTGGCAAGTCAAAGTGACCTGAGTACAGTTTTAATGCAGAAAACACCTGGGTCTGTTGGCATACTTCCACCCCAGCTAGGGCTGGGGCTTGGCCAGGGTGAAGGCCTTAAGTGGAAGGCTTTCCCTAACATATCCTATGAACAAGCCTTTAGTAATAGCAGTTGGGAAAGTTCCTTAAAATTATACATGTCCTTCAGATAGCTACCAACGGTACGGGAAAGTTTGTAAAGCAGCTAGCATTGTCATTCATGCTTAGCTAAGCAGTCAATGGTACCACAAACATACTCCAAACAACCAAAGCAATGCATGTGTCAACCTCAAATAATATCCTATGGATAATGCCCATTATGAAAAGTCAGTGGATTCACACTGTGACATCCACAACATATTCAGAATCATTAATACATCAACAGTAACCATCCTAAGAAGTTGAGAGTGTTTTTCCACACATCTATGCATATATGAAAATAAAGCAAAATAAAAGCAAGAAACAAAGTTCTAAACAGCTTACAATTAATAGCAGCCATAATTTGGAATTGTTACTCATTCCTCTGTGTTACCTATGGAAAATAAAACAGCAAAGATTGTTATGAATAATTACGTTAATTGATCAATGTAGAATGTTTAAACCCATAGAATTTTCTTTGAAATTAAGGATCTAATAAACTGCATCCTCACATATTTTTACACAACCTAGTATCTTATATTCTTAAACAGTTGCTTACCAAATTCTTCATCATAATTGTTTCAGTCAGTTCCATCTTGTCTCTATAACAAAATAACTGTATCTTGTCATTTAAATGAACACATTTCAACAGATCTTAAACTTAACGTCATCCAAACATAACAAAAAGTACCCCTAACAAAATTTAAAGTTAACACTACTGAAACTGAACAGAAATTAATCTTAATAGAATTTAAACTTAACAGAGCTTAAAATAATGGACTTAAACTGAAAAACACTTCACTTAAACTTGACAGAAACTAAACTTAACAGAACTTAAATTTAACAGAACCTAAACTTGGCAGAACTTAAATGAATTTAAAGAACTTCAAATTAACAGAACGTAAACCTAACATCACTTAAATTTAACAGAACTTAAAACTTAACATCACTTGAATTTCACAACACTTAACAGAAATGAACCTCAACATCACTGAAACATAACAGAACTGAAAATTAACATCACTTAAATTTAACAAAACTAAAGTTAGAGTTGAGAGTGTTCCTTTAAAAGTTTCAAAACCAAAAGAATTTAACTAAGTTTGACTCCATCATTACAAGAAAACTGTTGAAAATTTATCATACAACAGTTAAGTATCAATGAACAATATGCAGGCAACCAACTGATTTGTAACTTAAATAGCAGCAACCTGGGTTTACTGGAGAGATTATAAAGGTGTGGCAAATGCATTTATGATGCATTAAATGCATTAAATGATTTTATATTATTTATTTTTGAGAATAGCTCATGGTAAGTGCAAATATTATTGAAAATACTTGCTCACAGTCAGGACTTTTCTGGTGTAAGTTTGCCAGGGTTTATTCAGGTGCAGCTTTACTCAGAAAAATGACAACAGTGTATATCTTGCCAAATTGTACTTCAAACCTGTTCAGTTCCAAGATGGTAAGACAGCTTTTCGAGACTGTCTGTACAATAGATTTTGGATTATTAAAGGTAATGAGATATAAATATTTAGGAATAAAACATCAAGGATCTATATAATACTGCCACGAGTTTTGCACATGTAGCTCAGTTAGGCCAGTGAGTGTGTAAGACTCACATGTGGAACTAAACTGCTACAAAGTCATGGTTTCAGATTATCCTAAAGGAATGAGCTACTGTTTACTGTACTTGTGGTCCATCAATTTAAACTGTTTAAATATCAACTCCAATTTTAATTTATAAGTGGCAAGGAAGAATAACTATGTTTGAATCACTAAATAGCTGTACCTAACCAAAATGCTGTCACATGTGTCTTCATGGCAAAAGATTCACAATAAAATTACTTTATCAAAGCTGTGAGGTAAAAAGCAAGCGAACAGGTGAAGCCAGCACAATTCTGCCTGCCTTTACAGTAGAGAGTCATGAACTAATTATATCTAATTCTCTAATAGCTTCTGCAGATAACACTCAGGGTTTGCCTTCAAGTGAGCACAGGAATGCCTAATTTATGAGTGGCATTAATTGCTGTGGCTTAACATTGTGTTACATTCATATCCACCTGAAATATTTCCAAGGAGGGATCTATTGAATTTTCTAAGGAGCCACAATATCTTACAAATATGAATCTTCCTGTCCACAAACTAAAACATTAGCCACATAGTGATAAATGTGGCTCTTAGTGTATCGACTTGCAAATATTTTTCCAGGTATACAAATTTCTAATTTTCATGGTAACAGCTAGCATCATTATAACTTAGCAAATGATTGGTATTAATTCAGTCCAATCAGACTTTTAAATCGAAATTCCTGAAAAGGGAGTATTCATCCCCCATGGCAAGTTTTACCAATCATGCACTCTATCAGCATTTGTGTTGAAGAATTTAGACCTTGCTAAGCAGCCTCAAAGCAAGAAATTACATAATGCAAACAGCATGTGGAATGACACTACCTTCACACACCTAGCCTTGCATCTCTCAAGTAAACAATCCTATCAAAATCCACAGCTCACTGAAAAAAACAAGGTTAGTTTTAACAGAGTTCTGGTAATGATGTCTGTGTTCTGGGGTTTGAGTGTGCAGCATCACCGGTTAACTGAATGACAGTCTCCTGTCCCACTCTCCCCAGATCTCTGATAACAGAGTAGCCTAAGTCCTTGTAAGCAGGTGGGCACACAGTAATAACCAACAGGTCTGCATGTTTCAATGTGTCCTCTTGCCATTCTGACAGTGATGTGCTGCAGCACCAGCATTCCGGGTAGGCTGTAACTCTGCCATGTGCCCCTGGGTTACGGTTCCATGGTTGGAAGAGTAGGCTGAGAGAGAAGCTACATGGATGCTGAGTTCACCTGTGTGGTGCTCCTGGGACACTCATGCTGCACTGAGACAGAGCTTCAAGAAGGTACAGCCTCTGACCAGGGGAAAGCCTCTTCCCCAAAGGGAGGGATGGGGACAGGAGGCAGTAGAGGACGAATCAAAGCAATGGTACCAGTTCTGGAGACTGGGAGAAATAGCTGCAGATGTAGTTGGACTGCATCTCTCAGTGCAAATCCCAAACCAGTGCCAACGTGTAACACAAACACACTCCTGCCATTGCAGCCACATGGTGTGGAGAGAGACCAGCAGCAACACCATCAAGAGTTGCCCAGGAGCTGCTTGAGAAGAGGCTGCAAATAGTGCATATGATCTTTGCTGCTAAATGAGCCTTTGCTGCTAAATTCCTGAGGGCCTCCTTCTGTGGCCCTTAGGAATGATAAATTTGGCATTACTCAGCAAAGAGCCCCAGCTTTTCCCCTGCTGCAGGATGGCACATGCCATCCTGGAGCTCCTCTAAGGGGTCTGCAGCTGCAGACCTGCATCAGCAGGGGGGTGTTGAGAGAAAATGGAGTTAGATGGGACAGGTAAACTGCACCTACAAGAAAAGTCTGGAATGGGCTCCCCCCAGGACCTATGAGCACCCAGAAGCAAAATGTGTAGATTCTGATTAAACTGCAGAAAATAGTTTAAATGCAACTGAGGTCCTTTGCACAATTTAAAACATAAAAGACAGTTTTGGACACCAGGTTTCCAGGTCACATTCTACTGGAGAAGCAGAGGCATCTTTCAGATCCAGAGGATCCTCAGCTGCAGGGGAATGGCCCTGGGAGCCTGTGATGCTGGATCTCAGTCCCTTTGGGCTGTCTGCAGAAGCAGGGGAGAGGGAGAGCAACATGTAATCAGCAGATTAACTTTGTGTCAGAGCAGAAAAACCCATGAAGCAGCTGCTGGTCCACAGCTGGAGCAGAGAGCCTGCCCTGAGCAAGGCAAACTGCTGTCACGCTGCAGACATCATTTGAGGCTCGCTGGCTGGGCACCGTGTCTCCCCCCCATCATTTTAAGAGACAGAGAGGAGATGGTTTCTTCCTCCTGAAAGATAAATGCCTCCAGATTGTAGCCACTTGACAGGTCCACTGAAATTCATCAGTTCTGACTTGAAATGAAAGCTGTAATAAATCTCCCTGCTGAATAGGAGATCAAAGGCAGATCATTAGAGTTCTTGGATTACCCAGTGAGAGCGCACTTCCATCAGCCACTGTGCTGCCAGTCCCCCATGTCCAGAACGACCCCTTTGACAGTGCAGCTTTGACTGTAAAGAAAAGGACAGCTTTCCTATGAGAAGGTCTGGGTTGTGCCCCTGTCCTTTATCCACCTGTTCCTTGACTTCTGTCAGAGAGCTCTGTGAGGCTCGTGTCCTCACCCTTGGCAGCCACAAGAATGGAGTGTGGCGTTGCTCCACCCCACAGGCACAGCAGAAGAATTTGGTGTTGGCCAAGGCCTCAGTGAAAGCCCTTCCCCACATCAAAAGCTTCCTGCATTTTCTTTCCAGGGAAGGGAAGTCCTCCCCAAGACTTGGGAACTATCCCAGCTCAGCTGCTCTTCTTTAATTAAAGACAGACCTCAAAACTGCAAAGTAGAGCCCTGCAACCCTTCAGTGGGACCAGGTGTCCATGTCACTCCTGTCTCTGGAGGCACGTAGGATGTTGCACTGATTTTACACTCTGTTCTGAGGATTCCCAGCAGGAATCAGGAGCAATCTCTATCTCAGCCTCTCAAAACATATTTGTTTGCAACAGCCTATGATATGGCCACAGTTGCAATAAGCTCCTCGGGGAAAACATCCCTCTTTCCCAAATCTGTGTGAGTTAACCCCTTCTCTCTGCTTGGGCTGTGAGATCCCAAACTCAGTCAGCCCCTGGGCTTCCTGCTTTCTCATTTCAATCTCAGTAGCCATGTTCACACATCCAAGCTGGCATCTGTATATGGGTGCAGGGGAAGGTTGTGCAGGAGGAGCATAAGGTAGGGAGGTTTCAAGCTGCAGGTGGTGGCATCCTATCAGCAATACAGCTGCTGGTCCACCCTTCCTGGCTCCTTGGTCCTGTCAGGGAGGATCTTCTCCCAGCCTAATGCTGATCTGGTGAGACAGTTGTGCCTAAGCCAGCTGGAGGATGCCGGAGAGCAAATTCTCTAAATACTAACAGCATAAGGCAAATAGGTCTTTTCCAATGCCCTGACCTGTGGATTGCTAGATTTTCACCAGAACAAGCTGGAAGCCATCATCTGATGTCCCTGGCTCAGCACAGTTGGGATACAGGCTTTGCTTCACTGCAGCAGAGCTGGATCTGGGCTGTGGGCTGCATGCCCAGCCGTGCCTGGGGACAGCAAGGGGACCAGGCCCTGCAGAAGCCACACAGAGGGAACTTTATCTCCATGCAAAACGTGTTGCACACAACAGAATGAATTTCATCCCTGGAAAGATTTTTTCCCCCTGAGACCAGGTTTGCTGAGCTTAGGTCTGAAATGAGGGACCATAATAAGTCCATTAGCTTCAGAGGAGTTATCCTGAGCACATATTCGGCCTGTGATCCTTCATTTTACAAAGGGCTAAACATGGAGAGGATATAACAGTGGAAGAGAGAGAACCTCTGCCATTTTGCACGGCTGTGATGTGAAAATCAGTGCTGGGGTGAAAGTGGGGTTATGTAGGACTTATTTCACTGACTGAAATACATGATCCTGGTAATCAAGCTTCTCATGCTGTAGCTGCTCTTTGTTCTGCAGGATGGGGCATGGGGTGTCTTACACCAAAGGGTGTCTGGGGACATGGAGTATGTGTGTTGGGCGTGTCCCATGACACTGGAAGTCCTGCAGCTGGGTATCCTGTGATACACCCTACCACATAAGTTATCCTCAGTTGCAGGGTATCCCAGAGAATAGAAAGTCCTGACAACACAGATACTGATACAAGACATTGAGCACCCTGAGAAGAGACACTTTGGGTGGACTTGTACTGGATACCAGCCTGGCTGGCTGCAGGGAAATATCTGCAGCTGGGCAGAAAGCCTCATAAAAGGTCCCAGCACTGGGCCTCTGATAATGAAGAAACAACCCTGCAATTTGTATCTGAGCCCAGAGTTTTGGAAGCCCATGGTCTGACTTCTGAAGTGCAAACCAGCACAACACCCCCCATTACTCAGCTCACCCTGGGAGCAGCCCCAGCCCTTTATGTCACCTCCAGCACAGAAGGTTTCCTGGACCCCCAAGCACAGCTCCCGCCGGACACTCGCACAGATGAAACTGCTGAGCAAGATCAAACACAAACCACTACCCAGGCTTCCCCCCCGCCACCCCCGACTGCTCCAGCTGCCTGATAATCCCTCTGACTAAAAGGGAACCTGAACCCTGAGTGGTTTTGTGCACTGGGAAATGGAGCTGAGCCCCTAAACCCTCTTTGTGCTGGGATAATGGTCCCGGTGCCCTCCATCCCCACACTGTCCCCATCCCCACTGGCACTGACCAGCCAGGAAGATGAGCTGTGGAGCTGTCACCACTCTGAGCTTCAATCCAGCATAAACCAAACTTTTTGTTTGAGGTAGTAGTTTGAAAAAAAAAAAAAAAAAAAAAAAAAAGCATATGTCTTTGATCTTGAATAAAGCTTTTATCACAGCGCCTTCAGTCCCGGTGAGCGAAGGGGATTATCTTTCTTTCGCACAAAAGTTCACCTCCCAGTGCAGGTCACGGGAGGAAGATTTCACTGGAGTGGGAGGCGTTTTCTCCAGGGCATTCACCTCAAGTCCAGCAGGCAGCTGCTCCCAGGGAAACCTTTTTATGAGCTAACCTACTGCCTCAAATCCTTTCACATGCAAAGGGAACAAAAATAAGAACCCTCCAGAAGAAAGAAGTAGACGCAAACTCCCTGACAATCACTGCCAGCCTCATTTAGCACAAAGACCTCAGCTCAGCATCCTGCCAGCTCTGCTAACTCCCAGTGAACAGCTAGGACTCAGGGAAGTCACTTGAGACAGTATCCTGGCCCAAATCCAGCCTGCATGCAGAGTAGAGACTGGATTTAGCCTTGTGCAGGGTCTGCTCTGGATCTGGCCAAGGGTGTCCCCATGATGCTGCTCCCCATGTCAGGCAGGCTGATCCATGAGGATCATCCCTTTACCCACAACAGGTTAATGCCAGAGGTGTTTGCTGCCTGGAATGGGGCTCATGACCTGAGCTCTGGGCAGCCTCCCTGCCCTCACCTGCCCTGCCTATGCATCAGACAGGCAGTGCTGGATAATGGGATTTACCGAGAGCGCCTCAAAACTGCGCCTGTTCCCAGGGTCTGGCAAGAACCAGGGGCAGGAGGCAGCATCACCAGCACACTGTAACCTGCCCGTGGGGGCACACAGGTAGGCAGGGCTGCCTGAGGTGCAGCACCCACCTCCACTCTCCTCCAGCCTTCAGGAGCAGGGTGCTGCCCTGTCAAGGAAGGGTGCTGTGGTGGTAGAGGCCCAAGTTCTCCCACTCCCATGGACAGGGACATTAATGAAAGTGACAAATATGCTTTGACATCAATTATGTTGCTTTCTTGTTCAGCCAAGAAGTAATTAACTTAAGTGAAGCAATTAGGTAAACTTATCAAGTGAAGTTTGCAGCACCTTAAACAAGCAGATAATTGGGATAGGAAGGAGTGGAGATAAAAGGAGATAGGATGAAACTCCCAAAAGGGGCCTGGAGATCCCCAGGGGCTGAGGCTGCTGAGGCATCAGTTCAAGGGGGAAATTCTGTAACGGGGATGTCTGAAATGAAACATCCCTCCTCCCATCTGTACCTCTGAAATTGTCCCTCCTGCTCTTCTCAGGACATAGGCAAGAGGAAAAGACATGGCCCCAGGAGTCTGCTAAGAGCAGTGGTAAGAGATGAAGGGATCGATGGGGACCCCCACTGTGTACAAGAGACTGTACAAGCAGGTCTCAAAGCATTTGCTGATAATAACAGGTAAGGCAGAAGATGGACATGGACACTCAGTGATGGACTCCCTGCAGGGACAGCAAAGACACAAGTGGCTGTGTCTCATTCTCAGCCTTCTTCACTAGAGGAGCAAGAAGGGCTGGGGTGTTCTGCTGGGACAGATGGTGACAGAGCTCTGTCCCATGGAAAGGTGGGACAGAGGCATGGAGAGAAGTGTCATGGCCCAGAAATACTCCTGGAAGCCTGTGTGCTCCCAGGACCCTATCACTTTATAAAAGACATAAAATTCTGAAAAAGGTCCCTCAAGAATGACAGAGAATCAGCACAGCCACGCCAGGCACCAGCCCCCTGTCATGTTTGGAAATGGATGGGGTCCCCCGGCCAGTGCCATTCCCTCAGGCAGTTGGTGCCACCATACCCCTCTGCTGTGTCCAATCCACTGCCCTGCCTTTCAAGTCAATGAGCTGCTAAATTTTAAGATTTAATTTCCAGATTTCAGAAGAATCCATGGCACAATCCACTTTTAAAGGTTGCTAAGGTGTCAAATCAACATGCAATACTATAAATCATTAATGCACCCCTGTGTTGCAATGAAGCTGGAATATTTTAATCACTGAATAATGAAGTCAATACTCACAAATCTCAGCTGTCATTAGAAATTCACATGCCTCTGTGCACCCTGCTGGAGAGGAAATTTTGCAAGTGGACTGGATTTACCCAGAGAAGTGCAGGCAGCAGCACCGCAGCAGCGGTGGGACACAAGTGGGTGGGTTTTACAGCTCAGTTTTGTGACCAGCAGTGAGTCAGCAGGCTGCTCTGAGCAGCATGATGGACTTATTGCAAGGGCATGTAGTGATGGGACAAAAGGGAATAGCTTTAAACTGACACAGAAAATTTATATTATTAGGAAGAAATTCTTCCCTGGGAGGCTGGTGATGCCCTGGCACAGGTTGCCAGAGCAGCTGTGGCTGCCCCATCCCTGGAAGTGTCCAAGGCCAGGCTGGACAGGGCTTAGAACAACATGGGAGAGTGGAAGGTGAACACAGGGGGTAGAATGGGATAAGCTTCAAGGTCTTTCCAACCCAAATCTCTTTGAGATTCTGTGATTGCTAAAAGAAAGAAACTCGAGCTAACCCCTGATGTGGTTCCTGGTAGAAATAACAGTGGCTGGAGCATTTACAGCTTGGATGAGCACTGGGGTTTTGAAGTGAACACTACTGGATTGCTCACCTTGGCACCAGGAGAGTTTTGCCACTCCCACTGAGGACAGTCCAGAGTGGGAATGTCCTGCATCCAGGACCAGACACCATCCTAGAGCTGGAAAAGTCCTGGAGACAACAGTGTGGAGAGAACCAGAAAGGGCAGATCTGGAAGGTGGTGAACAGAAGGCAGAAGGGCAAAGTTAGCACAGTTCTGTGAATGCTGGGACATGCCTGCAGGCAGCAAGAACCACTGTGTCTCTGGCACAGATGGAGCATGTGGCTTGGAGCTGCAGCAACTGTGCGGGTGGGAGGAGGGACGGCCCTGCCAGGGAGAAGAGGAACAGGCATTAGGCACTACTGAGTAACGCCAGCTTCCTCAAAGAAAGGAAACCTCTGGAAGTACAGCATCAGGATGGCAAACAGCCATAGCCAGCACAGAGGCTGAACACAGAGAGAAGTGCTGGTGTTTCTGCCTGCCCCAGCTAGGATGTTCACAGTGATGCACTGCTCAGGTGCACTACTCAGGTGTGATAACAAGCCTGAGGCCCCAGCATTGCAACAGGGCTGCTATCCACCTGGATGTCTGAATACTCATGGAACCTGCATGGTCAGATAACCATCACCAGGACAAGAGGGACAGAGGGACAGAGGGACAGAGGGACAGAGGGACCTATCGCTTCATACTTCCACAGCTGGGTCCAAATCACATTAAGACAGAGCTGGTAGGACCTGTGGGAAGTGGAATAGGTGAGAAACTGCCTCTTTATTTCATCATAAAAGGAGGAACAGTCATAAGAGTGCTCTCACAGGGTTGTTGCAGTGGGGACAGAGCTGTCAAATGGTCACCTGAACCGCAGGAAACCTCCCTGTGGCTCAGGCTGAGGTACCGCGCACCCTGGATAAGTGGCATAACTTTGAGTCAGATATTCCTTCCTCAAGAACCTGGTGAGACAAACTGTCCACCTTGAGCTGTCCTGCTCCAACCTGTCTTGGCATGAGGATTGCACTGAAGCCCACACTTAAAAGTTTTTTGGGTTTGCTTCATATCTTCTCTAGCTGAGAATGGAAGCAGCACTCTTGAGTTCACTATTTGCTTAGACCGGAGAGGGACATTTTCAGGGGCATTGTAGTGACAGGACAAGAGGAAATGGCCTTAAGGTGAATGAGGGTAGATTTAGAATGGAAATTAGGAAGGACTTCTTCCCTGTGAGGGTGGGCAGGCCCTGGCACAGGGTGCCCAGAGGAGCTGTGGCTGCCCCTGGATCCCTGACAGTGTCCAAGGCTGGGTTGGATGGGTATGGGAGCAAACTGGGATAATGGAAGGTGTCCCTGCCATGGCAGGGGGTGGAACTGCCACTGTGGAACTGGGTGGGCTTTTAGGTCCTGTCCAATCCAAAACATTTTAAGCTTCTATGATAGTTCTCTGTTCCAGTTAGAGAAAAACAGTTAAGGCCATGGATTCAATACTCAGGGGAAAAATTGAAGAGATATGTCAAAAATTTGCAATCACAGAGTAAATGGAGGTTGGACAGAAGTTCTGAAAATCACCTACTTCACCACAACACCTTGCTCAAATCATTGCTGTTCCTTTTTCTCCCAACTGCACTAAGCCCTCAGAGATGGCACGCTGGTGGTGCTGGTCACATCTCAGGGTGTAACAGCAGAGAGGCACAGCAGGACACACAGCTGGCATCCTTCTATGGGTGACATCAACATCAACAGTGCCCATCAGATTTCACTTCTGTTTTGCTCTTTTTGAGGTAATGATTTAACTGTTGGAGCTTCCTGGAACTGTCCCCCTAGATAAGGGGGGCCTGGAGCAAGTCCTGCCAACCAATCCCTAAATTAATTCCAACCTGGACAACACCAAAGGCTTTGCAGCAGTGTAACAGTGTTTGGCCCTCCAACAGTGATAGCCAAAATATTTATTTAAAATATGAGGGGATACAGTGCTCCAAAGGGATTTCTTTCCCTCTCAGGCTGCTGCAGAAGTGTTCATGTGAGTGGCAGAGGATTTTCACCTTTAGTGCATGAGTCCAGTCACCTCTGAAGAGGGGACCCTGAGTGAGCTGGACCAAGATGGCAAATCCCATTTCCTCATCGATTTTCTTGAAGGATGCTTTGGAGGTAGCTGGGTGTATCTATTTGTGTGAACAAGGGATATTAGAGACTCATGCCGTGAGATTATAACCAACACCAAATGTTGTTCTCTCCTAAATCCCTCTTTTAAGGTGTTAACAACTTTTAAAAAAACCCAGCTCTTTGTGCTGGAGATGTCTCAAGCTTCATCACAGATAAAAGGGTTTTTTTGGGTAATCTGAGCCAAAATCTCTGTGGCTGTGTTCTGCATTATCTGAGCTTGCATTAAAAAAAAAAAAAAAAAAAAAAAAAAAAAAAAAAAAAAAAAATGAGGTGGGGAAGCACACCCTGTTAATACTGTTTTTTGTCATAATTCTCTTCTTCCATCATCCTGCCCAGCAACAGCTGCCTGGGTCTGCCCCTGCCCCTCCTCTGAGATAAGGCCTGTGTGTGCACCTTCCTGCTCCCCCCTTTCCCACTGGAGCCATCCAGTGCCCTGATCCACCTGGGCATGCCCTACTGGACCATCCCTTGGACAGGCAGCTGGGCAACTCTGGACCCCCCATCACCTCCCTGCTGCCTCCAGGGCAGAATGGCCACGCTGAGTGCCCGTTCTCAGTGCCAACAGGGCCATCAGCAATGCCAGGACAAGGCAGGAGGCAAAGAGGCTCAGCAGACGGGGGAATCATGCGGGCCATGACTCCACAGGGTTGTGAGGGGAAACCTCATCCAGCCTGTCCAGGACATGCAGGAAAGAGCATGGAGGAAGACTCAGCTGGAAAGCTCACTGAAGTCAGGGAGTGACATGGCACAGTGAGCAGGGCCAGAAAAGGGCATTTTCTTAAATAGAGCAACCCCTCAATGAGCAGAGACCTGCCCCAAACACACAAGACCAGAGGGTGGAGATAGCTCCCCTCAGAGCAGGGAGGAAGACTGCGCCAGCCCTCATCACTGCCCCAAATTAAACAGCTTGTTCAGGATCCTCAGAGCTCCAGCAGTGTGGTTTCATCCAAGGCACTACCATCAGTGCTGGGGCTCAGTGGGGCACAGGGCCAAGCCAGCAGAGGTGCTCTGAGGATCAGAGATCACTGGAGATGCCAATGTCTGAACCCTCAGAGCCCAGCCAGTGTCCCCAAGGGATGAGAAGATCCTACAACTCCTGCTGAAGCCTATCACCAGCTTAGGGCTCCATTCATTCCCCTCACCTGCAGCCATTGATTCCAGCTGCTTTTGGATTCTTTTTGCTTCCCATCATAGCAGACATCAGTTTCCATATTTAAACCAACACCAGTTAGTCCCCACTCAAAATACAGCCAGGAGAATCCGTCCAGCCCAGAGGAAGGGATTGTTCCCAACAGGAGACCTCTCTCTGCAAGCCCCTGGCCTGAGCACAACCCCAGGAATGAGCTTGTGACACAGAAAAAGGAAATTGTGTTCGATCGCTGTGGCAAGATGAGCTGCCTGCTCCCTGAGGGGAAGGGGAGTGCGGGATCCCTGCTGGTGTTGCAGGGTTCTGGAAGGGCAGAGGAGCCAGGCAGGCTCAGGGACAGGAACACAGCAACAGCAGTGTGTGGGGCTGTCCCAGGGCTGTGTCCCACATCCCTGCGTGGGCTGTGGCTGACACATGGAGAAGTGCAGGGACCTGAGCACCCCGTAACTTCCCAGAGCTGCTCCAAATCCTCAAAATAATCTCTGGAGCATCTGCGATTCTTTGCTAAGTGCTGAATCATCTTCCTGCAATGTTTGCATTAGGAATGCAGGAGTGGTAGAGCCCTTTGCAGGGGGCCAGGGAGGCGGGGACAGGTACTGGCACCCAGCAAAGAGAGTATCAGCAGGACTCTGCTCTCTGTGCTACCTGCTCTGCTGGCCCTGCTAAGTGCCAACACTTGGCAAACAGCTGGGCACATCCCAGAGGGACACAGGCTGAGTCTTGACGCATGGCAAGCCTGAGGGTTTAGTTTCATCACCATTAAATGAGTCACTGTCAAGCCCCAAAGCAAGTCCACTCTGTCCTCATCCTCCACTAGAGCTGCAGGGAGACCCAATCTCACTTGTGCAAAGCTCCTGGAACCCCAAATCCAATCCCCTACCAGGGATTCCCATCAGCTCTTGGCCTGCTGTACCACCAATGATGTGAACCAGCTCATTGGGGGGAACAGCAATGCCTTGCCTTTAAAACAGAAAAACCCTCAGAGCCACAGAGAAATGGATGAGTAAAAGGGGTGTATTTATTTAGACTTTGACAGAAACTTTGATAAGATTCCTACACTGGGGGATTTGAAATCTTTGAGCATATCCTGGTTACACACAAGGACACAAGAACTCGTGTGTATTTAAATAGATCTACTGAGATGTGGCAGATAGCAAAGGATTATCTGGGTGAGTCTGTGTAGAGGCTGGAGCGAGCTGGGGAGGGCATTCACTGTTCACAGACACCGGTCATGGGGCAAGGGGAATGCAGTGGTGATAAACAGGAGTTCACACTCACCATGGGGATCATCTGGCTTGTCCTGAGTGCCACCAAACTCACCATCATCTATAATCCTGCTGGAGAAAGCCCCATGTCTACCAGACAGCTCAATAATAACAGCTTTACATGCTCAGAGACAAAAGATACAACTTCAGGTCTGAAGTGCAATGTACTAAACCAAGGTGATGCTAGCACAGCATTAAGGATCAACAGATGGGGCAGCTCCACTCTAAGCAATGTCTCACTGGACCCTCTGAGCTGGAAAAAATGAAAAGAACACAAGTTGGATAAAGGGAACAACCCCCTCACTTGTAATTGCCAAGGTTATTTTACCAGTCATCCCACCCATCTTCTACCCAGCACAGAGCCCTCCTTGTGACTCCTGCAGAAGGCCAGAATGGGAACTATTTACCTGCAGCTGTAGGCTGTCCAGATGTGCCTCTACACGTCTCTACAGAGAGCAGAGCATGGGCAGACACATGTTGAGAGGCGCCACCTCTGCAGCATGAGCTTTGTGAAGAAGGTCTTGGTGATGCCAGACCAGGGGAATGTGGGTGGAAGGCTGGGGTGAGTGGCTGGGGACCTAGTCCAGGCGAAGGACAGCAAAGTGGAGGGACAAGGGTGGCTGGCAAGGGCTGGAGTTTAACTTTTCCCTTTCAAAGTGGTGACCAGAAGGCCGAGTCCATCAAATAGGTGACTTATGGCCTTGGCCTCCTTGGGCAGAGAAAGACAGCTTCACATCATACCCATCAGCAGGCTCAGCACAGCTGGAGGGGCACAGATTATCTCCCCAGGCAGACTGAAACCCGAGGCAGGGCTCTACTTACCTTATTTCAGCCAGGAGGAGAAGGGCAAACTCCATCTCCAGCAGGAGGCCTCCAGTGGATGGAAAACCTATGAGCGGAGACAATTTTGCACAGTCCCAAGCTAGATCTAATCTATCCAGACAGACCCATTTGTTGGCAGCTCCTTTGTGCTGCTAGCGAGGATGTGCACACCAGACCCATCCTGGCCAGCCCTCCCCATCAGCAGGAGGTTCTGGGGCCAGCAGGAAAGAGGCACAGAGAAGAGCTTTCCATATGCTACAGGCCTCTAAGCATCCCAACAAACCTGACCCTGAGCTCCCTGGGAGTAAGACATGGACTGACTACTCCCATTAGAGGTGGAAAGGTCACTGTCTGGACTGCCTGCAATGCTGGGCATCTCCAGGGTGTCCAAGAAAAAGGAAATAAGGCCAATCTAAGCATTTGTGCTCTGCACAGATCAGCCCTGACTAGTGTTGATGCTCTTCAGCACTTGCCAGAGAGCAGAGATGGCAGTGAGCACCAGCACAGGGGCAAAGGCTGCCACCAGTTCACTCCCCAGACATGCCAAGCAGCTTGAGCTCCTTCACTCTTGTACTCTGGCAGATTTCCCACCTCTTGACTCGTGCTGGTAGTCGTTTCCTGCACAGTCTCCAGTTTGTCATTTACATGTCATGTGCTGCCATGGGTGAGCGGCTGTAGGCAACGACATGTCATGGCAGCAAGGTTTAGAGCAGGGGCAGCACAGAATGCCTTGTGACGTGCCAAAAGAGCTCCTAAAGCCCACAAACATCACTCAGGACTCTGCATGCCTCTAGTTCTGACCAGCAGCCCTCAGGATGAGGTTACATGTCTGACCAGCTCCCTCCTGTCCCCATGCAGCCAGCATTGCTTCTTCCCAGGCACAGAGGCGCTCAACTGTGCCCATGTGCTGGGCAATTCAGATCCTACTGCTCCTTCCTGCTCCTTCAGCCTCTGTCTCAGCAAGGGCTTTCTGTTTCCTTGCAGGTCACAGAAACCAGTGCTGTGGCCCAGTCCATGGGTGTCTCCCATTGTAGATGAGAGCTCTGTGCCATGACTTACAGCATCCATGGGTCTGCTATTACATGGACTAAGAACTACACTTTATCAAATTGGCTTAATATGATTAGAAGCCTGGGTAGATTTCCTACCTTGAGTGATCATAAACAGTGCAGGGAAAGAAGAGCAAGAGCTTCTGCTCCCAATAAAAGGAATTATTGTGTTAACACAGGAAATCAGCACTTGTGGTGACTTACTGAAGGGGGCCCCATGCAGCTGACACTACTGGAGGTTCAGGCACATAAACTGGAGAGGCAGCGGAACACCCACCAGCCAGCCTGCTCCTCCCCAGGACAGAAGGTACCGAGCCCATCTCCTGGGGACATGCTTCAGATCTCACTGTCTGCAGCAAACCACCAGAATTTGGGAAAGCGCCTCTGGCTGCTGAAGCAGCTCATGTCTGTGTTGTGAAAGGGCACTCAGGTTTGCTGAGCTGGATGGAGGCCACTGGAGACATCACTTCCCTTTTCCAGTGCTCAAATTAACTGGGGACATGCTGGCAGTCTGCCAGATCAATAATAGAATTTGCCAAGACATCAGCATCAGCTGGGGCTGCCGGGGCTTGTCCAAATCACAAGGAGGGTTTTCAGACCACTGGCATCCATTCTTCTCCTGCTCTTCCTCACAAGAGGCTTCAAGAAACATCCAAACTGCCTCTGTGCTCCCACCACTGCCATCCCTCACTTCTGAGCAAGCAACACATCTTTGCACCTGATTACAAGACAGGTTGGATTTCAAAATAATAAAACCTTGACCCCAAAACAAAGCCTAGAGCACCAAATTTGCATATACTGTGTTAAAATAGCACCGGGGGCCTATGAAATGACACTTTACATGGGAAATGTCAAGTGAGGGTTGCTCAGGGCCACTAGTGTACCCAGGGCACTCTGCCTTCTTCCAAAGGATCCCACAGCAACAGGACAGACACCGGGTCACAAATGGGAATTGTGTAGAAAACAGACATTTACTAATGGTCACAGGCTTAGTCCTGCAACCTAAATGCAAGGAAATTGTGCTGGTTTTGGCTGGGGTGGAGTTAACTCATAGTGGCTGATGTGGGGCTGTGTTTTGAATTTGTGCTGAACACAAGGTTGATAATATAGAGGTGCTTTTGTTATTGCTGAGTGGGGTTTACACAGGGCCAGGGCCTTTTCTGCTTTTCCTAAGGCCATGCTGGGGAAGAAGTTGGGGATGCAGGGGAGGCTGGGAGGAGGCACAGCCAGGACAGGTGACTCAAACTGACCAAAGGGGTATTTCAGACCACATGACATCATGCTCAGTATATAAAGCTGGAAGGAAGAAGGAGGAAGGAGGGGAGATTTGGAGTTACGGCGCTTGTCTTCCCAAGTTGCTGTTCCATGGGATGGGGCCTTGCTCTCCTGAAGGTGTTGAATACCTGCCTGCCCACGGGAAGCAGGGAATTAATTCTGTTTTTCTTTGCTTGTGTGTGTAGCTTTTGGTTTCCCTGTTGAGCTGTCTTTATCTCAACCCATAAGTTCTCCAGCTTTCGCCCTTCAAATTCTGTCTCCGATACCACTGGTGGGGGAGTGAGCGAGTGGCTGCAAGGGGTTTGGCTGCTGGCTGGGGTTAAACCAGGACAGAGATGCATAAATCATAGAATCATAGGATGGTTTGGGTTGGAAAGGACCTTAAAGCTCATCCAGTCCCACCCCCTGCCATGGCAGGGACACCTCCCACTGTCCCAGGCTGCTCCAGCCCTGTCCAGCCTGGCCTTGGGCACTGCCAGGGATCCAGGGGCAGCCACAGCTGCTCTGGGCACCCTGTGCCAGGGCCTGCCCACCCTCACAGGGAACAAGTCCTTCCTAATTTCCATTCTAAATCTACCTTCTTTCAGCTTAAAGTCATTCCCCTTTGTCCTGTCACTCCACCATTACCTGATCTCACATCCTCCATGGGATGTCACTTCCCAGTTTGTCACAGGCATTCTGCCATTTCCTCAAATGCATCTGGCAGCTGCAACAGGACACAGTGAAGGGCAGGATGGTCTCATGATCTAGCCTGACCTTAAAACAGATTCTCTGCTTCCTTGGAGGATGGCACCAAGGTCAAGAGGGGCACAGGACCCCCCCAAAACTCAACAGGTCACCCAGCACCCAGGACAAGACTTGAAAAAAATCATGTTTTCAAAAATGAAGGATTTTTCCTTCCAGAGAATTGCTTCACATGAAACTCCACAGCCACATCTCTCCTTCTCCATATTTTATTTTTACAGAGGAAAAAAAAAATCATAGTGTAACAAGAAATCACCAGCAATCAGTATCTCCAGTGTGGTACACACCAGACCAGGACATGTCCTGGGAAATTCATCTCCCTCCCAGGTAAAACATAGGTGTTGCTAACACTGCAATTTGCTCTGCTGTGCATATCTCATCCATCAAGAAGGAACTGGAGTGGGGGGATGTGAGTTATTATCTCCTCATAATAATATGGGAGATGCTCAATGGACTTTGTAAAGCTGCAAAGCTCTTGGGTGTGTGCTGCTGCCAGGACTCTGCTGAGGATACATCCACACAGGATCCTGCTGGGCAGGAAGGCAGGAGAGATGGCCCCAAACAGGACAGGTGAGCCTGAACCCCTCCTGATGTAACACCTACATTGTCCTCTTTTGGCTGTGGTAACACTCCAGCAACAAGGCCCAAAGGGCACAGCCAACAGGCCCCATGCTCATGCTCTGCCCTGTCTGAGCTGCCTCTGCCCTAGGACAGGACTAGAAATAAAGCAACTTCTCCTCAAGCCCTGCTGAACCTTTTTCCTCCCTCCACTGTTTTCCAGGAACAAAGAGAGATCAGATTCACTGTAGTGCTCCCTGCAGATATTCACTGCAGTGCTCCCTGCTCACACATAGAGGCCAGGACACCTGTAAAGCACTGTTTAACCCATTTCCCACGCCAGAGCACTCCCACAGCTTGTGCACGCTTTCCACAGCTCCCAGCCCCCACAAACTCAGAAAATGGGGAACAGCTTCCAACTTCACCAGCCTGTGGGACAAAATCCACTGCTTTCCTCCCAACACATCTGTTGTGAAACCACCAAGACACAAGTTGCTTGTTCTGTCATTATCCCCGTTGCTCATCCAAAGTGCTCTGCACAGTGCCCAGGCAGGCAAGAGATGCGCTCCAGTAGTTCACCCTCTGGCCCCTCTCCTCCTGGCCAAGGGGCATCCCAGGTTTTTCACCTCTTCACCTCAGTAACAGGTGCATTTCACTCTCTCCAGTGGTGGCCAAGCCCCAGTTTCAGGCTCTTTAAGCAGTGATATATTCAGGGTTTCGAGGTGACCTGTCTAGGGCTTGGAGTTTTCCTTCAGCCTGGCAGTAGCTCAAGATTTCTGCACAGGTGGCAGCCCAGGAGCTGGGGAAGGCCTGGGAAGGCTCAGAGGAGCTTCCACAAAGGCGCACCTGGGCACTAGCACTAATCCTCAAGGCCTTGAGCACCATCTCCTGGTCATTCATGGATTTAGTGGCAACTTAACCTCATTGCTTCCTCCATGTCACCATCCCCACAAGGCTTGGGGGGACCATACATGGCAGCCCTTCAAGACGTGCAACACTTCAGCAGGGTTACTTATAAGCTTGCTGCCACACACACAAAATGCCATGAGCTCCCCCAGCCCCTCTCCTGAGAGCTCTGCTGCTCTCCTCTTCCTTCAAGTTTTAACAGGAACAAACTCTCACACTGGCACAGCCACACTGGCACGCTCCTGTGCCACCATCTCTGCCTGGTGGCCCTGAGCAGCCGGTGCAAGATGCTTCTGGAAAGCTCCAATGTGTCCCCCTCTGGTGCTGCTGTGGCTCTGGGCAGCAGGATACAACAGGCAATGCTCACAGTGTGCTCCCAGGCTCCAGGATCCAGCAGGATCACCCCTCTGTGTGTAAATATCGCAGTGGCAGGCTCAACCTTTTGGCATGAGGAAAAGGAAGATAAATGCTACCAGTCCCCTCGGAGCCACAGGAACCCTGCATCTAATTGCCCTTCATAATGGATTCAGCAAGCCATTAATTATCAGATTATATTTTAGGAAGCTGCAGATAAAAAAGCTTTATGAAATTTAGTCTCAAAGGAACTGGTGTGCACAATGAAGCTGTTGCATTATGCCAGCACCAGAGAAGCAAACTTTACAGCAGGTACTGAGTGCATTCTACAAGGCAGTGCCCCATGTGCCAGGGGAAGGTCCATGTGCAGTCACAACAGCTATCCCACACTCCAACACCTCCATTAGTGCCATGCCACAAGGGACACTGGCACACAGGCACAGCTCCTTCCCTTTTTTCAGAATGTCCCTGGTGAATTAGAGACAGATCTTAGGGCTGTTTGCTCACAGAAAGGATGGATATGCCAAGACATGCCTGGGAGCCTCCTTCCTAATAGACCACAGCAAAAACATGGATGGGATTAGACCTGTGTGGCACAAGGTGCTGTCCAAATAGTGCTGAAGTAATTTAGCCCAACTCCCAGGAAGTCTCTACTGGAGAAGAGAGGCTCAAAGGTCAGCTCTTCAGCTCTGTTTTCTCTGGAGAAGTTCTCCAGCTGCACAGCAATACAGGTGAAAGAAGGAACAAAGCAGCCCTTACACCTTGCAGAAGATACCTGTGAGCTCATCACTGATTCAGCCATAAAAATCTCCAACCTAAATTCTCAGGACAGTTTTTTCTGGTTTCCCTTATCCATAAGCCCCAGCTTTGTCCTGTACCAGTCCTCTGCTCTCTGTTCACAGCAGTGGAGCATTGCACCTGATTCCCATCTTTTCCTCTGCTGCCTTATTTCTCATGTGTTGGAGGAGACGAGTGTTCTACCAGCGGCTGACTGCAGGGACACTTCTCAGGCAGTAAATGTCCATGAACCTCCCCTGTCCGTGGTTATGCTGTGCTTGCTGCATGCCTGGGACTGTTTTCCCAAAGAAGCCCCAAATCTCCCAAGTGAAGCAGCACACTGAGCTCCTGAACAAGCCTAGTGGATACCAGGTGCCAGGCACAGGCAACCTCCCGTGTCCCTCACTTGATTTCTTCACACATCAGAGTGACTGTTATCAAACAAATTCTCCACAGTCACCACCTCAGAGCCAGTTTGTCTCACTTGGGATTTGGGCAACGTCACAAGTTTGGCATCATCGAAAGAGTTTATGTGCTCTGCTGCTCCTTGCTCTGATGTCTGAGTCACCTGTGTGGAAGGAAGATGACCCAAGAGTCAGACATGTACAGCACCACTTTCCCCTGGACCCCTTTGCTGCTCACACCTTTCCCAGCCTCACACTACAGCCTCTGTAATTACAACAGGCATGAGACTAATAGGGAACATCAAACTACACACACCAATGATGCAAAAGAAGACAGGAGAGTAATTTAAATATTTCTCTCCACAAATTGCTATAATTTAGCTCCACAAGCAGTCGTAGACAGTAAACATTCTGTGATTATCCACTGGAGGAATGCCATCCCACGGAATCTTGCACACTGGACTCCCTCATCCAAGGAACTCTTCTTGAGTGATGGATGAGATATTGAAGAGGATGAGGATGGGTTCAAACCTAGCACTGGGCCTCCAATAAAACAGCTGCAGTGTCACAGGGCATCATCAAGGTGTTAATAACCTCTGAGTAACCATGCACTTCCACACACACTGCCAATCCTCCTCCTCAGCTCCTTAAAGTCATGACTGAGCAGCTTTCCCTCCAGCAAACCTGCTTCATGCCAGCACAGAAATCCCAGAGTACTGTGGGCTGGGGTTTGCATCACAGACCCCTCCAAGAATGGGAAATCATGGAGCAGAAGGGGCAACAGGGCCCACAGAGTGGATTTGGGAAGAATAAAAGTGTAGGAGAGAAGGATAGGTGAACAATGTGACACAGAACAATTCTTATATGCACAATCTGGGCAGTGGTGGCTTGGGAGGAGGTCACCTTGGGATGCTCAGTGCTGAGGTGCCCTCCAGCTTGCCCTGGGAGGGGAAGAGTTCACCCACGAAGGTGCTATCTTCTGTGTCAAGTGCTGGCTGGTGACGTGGCTCTGCAGGGCCCCAGGGAGCAGAAGGCCACGGAGCAGCACAAGCAGCACAATGGTTGGGAAGCTGTGGGAGAAGCACTGTCCGAGTCTGGCCTGGGACAACCAGGGCCAGCCTGAGAGCACAGGGAGCTGCAATGGCCAGGGCACACATGGCTGAAACCCAGGAGGAACTGGGTTTCAGTGTCCCTCCTCCTGGCTGCACCACTGGCCGTCAGTTTGCGGCTGCTTGGGTTCATTTTGGCTCCCTGCAGCCCCTGCATTAAGAAGCCCAGCTGGTTTACCTGCAACTGTAGCTGACCCTGCTCACAGGAATCCCTTCATCCTGTTCCCTCATACCATCCAGCACTGTTCCTTGCTGGCCTAGCTTGCCTCTCCTGATCCAGCTATTCCAAAATCATTACCCAACTCAGCGGTTCTCCACTTTCAGAGAGAGCTTTTTCTAGGTCTTCTTCCTCACTCTCTAGGCTGCTGTTGGCTGTCTCCTCCAATGTTTCCTGATTTATATTCTCTCCTGCTATCCCATGCTCTGCTGTGGGGACCCACCATTTGTCGTAGCCTGGTCTGCCAGTTCCCTCTGTCCTTACAGCTTGAAAACTTGCCAAAGCATGGAACTGGATGATTTTTGAAGTCCCTTCACACCCAAACCATTCTACAATTCTATGATTCAAAGGGTCCTTGACATGGTGTCCCCAAGCCCAGGTTTGTCTCTCATCTTTCTAGTGCTACACTCACTTTTTCTTCAGTCTCCCACTAGCTGTGTAGACAAACCCAGAGCTTGGGGTTCCATCCATCATCTCCTCATGCTGTTGTATCCTCACCTACACTTAGCTCTCTTCTCTACTGTAACAATCAAATCCATAACTTTCCATGATTCCAGTAGGTCCAAAAGCTTAACATGTCCCAGCCTCACCCAGTGTTTTTCCATTTCATCCTTACTTTCTGTTTCTTCACATTTTTTCCTTACCATGTCCCTCTTCACCCTCCCGTTTACATTTCAGACATCACCAAGAGGAACCATCACTGCTCAACAGGTAACCTGAGCAGTAGCAAAGGTGACACACCTGAGTGCCTGCACTTCACTGAACCTGAATGTGACCGTGGTCACAAGGGTTTGCAGGTGAAGAGATAGGCGAGAATGTTGATTCCATGATCAGAAGGCTTGATTTATTATTTTATTATCTATATATATTATTATAACTATACTAAAAAGAAATAGAAAAGAAAAGGCTTCTTCAGAAGCTGGCTAAGCTAAGAATAGAAAAGAATGATAACAAAGGTCTGTGTCCCGGCAGAGAGCAAGAGCAGCTCTGCCGTGGGTGGTCAGTAAATCCAAACATCCACCCGAGACCAATCACGGATCCACCTGTTGCATTCCACAGCAGCAGATAACCATTGTTTACACTTGAAACTTCTCAGCTGCAGCAGGAAAAATCCCAAGAAAGGATTTTAATGAAAAGATGTCTGTGACACCTGCAGGAGAGCCAGCATGGGTAACAGCTCCATGCATGACTCACACTCATGGAACTTCACATCTGCAAACAAAGCCAAGAATACAAAAACACGGTCTCAGGGTCTTTTACAAGAGACCTTCTAGACCACAGCTCTCTAGTATTTCATAACCACCACACCTGCACACAGGCATGAGGAGCATCCTCAGAGGAGCAGCCAGAGCAAGCGAGCTGCAAGATGCTGAGATGAGATGCTGAGCAAGATGCAAGAGCCAGAAGAGACTACTACAGTTCACAAGAATCTACTGTGACTTTCAGGAAAACAGGATGTGCAGCCTTGTGCTATTAGAGTTATAACTGCATCAGTCTCTTCTCCCACATAACAAGTGATGGGACAAGAGGAAATGGTCACAAATAGCACCAGGGGAGAATCAGACTCTGTGCTCTTCCACATTTTCATAAATTACTTGGACACAGGACTGGAAGGAATATGAGGCAAGTTCACAGAGGATACGAAACCGGGAAGAGCTGTTGCCTCCCTCAGAGGCAGGGAGGCCCTGCAGAGAGACCTCAGCAAAACAGAGGACTGGGCCATCACCAACCGTGTGAAGTTCAACAAGAGAAAGTGCCAGCCAGATTCTTTACTGGGGATGGGGCAGCCCTGCTCCTGTGGGTGGAGCAGGCAACAAGAGGCTGCAGAGCAGCTGCAGGAAGGGACCTGGGGTCCTGGTCAGTGGATCTGAGTCAGCAGTGCCCTGGCAGCCAGGAGGGCCACCCGTGTCCTGGGGGACATCAGGGAGAGCATGGCCAGCCCGGCAAGGGAGGGGACTGTGCTGCTGTGCCCTGCACTGGGGCAGCCTCACCTCGAGTGCTGGAGCAGATTTGGGCACCACAAAGTAAGAAAGATAACTATTAGAGTGTGTCCAAAGGAGGGCCATGGCAATGGTGGAGGGCCTTGAGCAGAAGCTGTGTAAGGAGCTGCTGAGGGCACTTTGTTCAGCCTGGAGAAGACTGAGGTCAGACCTCATCACATCTACCACTTCCTCACGAATGGAAGAGTAGGGGCAGATACTGATCTCTTCTCTGTGGTGACCAGTGACAGAACTTGAGGGAATGGCCTGAAGCTGTGTCAGGGGAGATTTAGGTTGGATATCAGGAAATAGTCTTTTCACCCAGAAAGTAGTCGGGCACTGGAACAGGCTCCCCAAAGAAGTGGTTCCAGCACCAAACCTGGCAGTGATCAAGAAGCATTTGGAAAATACCCTTAGACACTCTTGGAGATGGTGCTGAGCAGGGCTAGGAAACTGGACCCAATGATCCTTGTGGGTCCCTTCCAACTCAGTATATTCTGTGGTCAGGGAAAATTTCTTCATGAAAAGCATGGTCTGGCATTGGAACAAACTGCCCAGGGCAATGGTGGAGTCACCATCCCTGGAAGCATTCAAAAATGTGTGGATGTGGCACTTGGGGACAGGGTTTGCTAGTGAACATGGCAGTGTTGGGTTAATGGTTGGACTAGATCCTGGAGAGCTTTTTCAACCTAAATGATTCTGTGATTCTCTCTCTCCAAGCAGTCACTATATCACTTACAATGGGTTCTTACCTGTGTGCTCTGCCTTGATGTGCTTTTGGTGAGCAGCAGTGCTGGTGAAGGTTTTGTCACAGCAGCTGCACCGCAGGGAGGAGAACTTGGAGGAGCAGTGATTCTGAGCTGCAAAGACATCAGAGGGGTGGGTCCTGTTGTGATAACATAGTCCTGACAACTGCTGCAACAACAAGGATCAAATCATGGTTACCATCCAAAGCTGTTGGCTTTAAACCGAAAGAAAGCAGGTTTAGATGGGATACTGGGAAGGAATTCTTCCCTGGGATGGTGGTGAGGCCCTGGCACAGGGTGCCCAGAGAACCTGTGACTGCCCCACCCCTGGAAGTGTCCAAGACCAGGCTGGATGGGGCTTGGAGCAACCTGGGCTAGTGGACGGTGTCCCTGCCCATGGCAGGGAGTGGAAAAAGATGAGCTTTAAGGTCCTTTCCAACCCAACTCCTCTGACATTCTATGATTCTGTTGCAGGGACAGAATGACAGTCAGAAGCCATGTAGAAAACAACAGAACAGGGGAGTTGTGCTCAGCAGGTACAAGACCGGCTTGTCGTCCCACTGGACAAGCACTGACACCTCACTCTGTTTCTCCATTGTCCCTGATGAGCTGAATACAGCTGAATCCCTGATCCTTGTCTCATTCACTGCAGATCTCCTTTTGGTGTGAATTCTTATTCCCTTGCAGCAATGTGGAGGTCTGCCACAACATTGTGAGCTGCCCCAGGAAGGGCAAAGAGATTTGGTTCCTCACACGCATCCTGCTAAAGCAGCCAGGAACTAGAACAGCTCGGTTATTTTTGGAGACTTTCAAATTTGCCAGTAGCCCTACTTTTCCTTGATGAGCTATGTGGAAAACCAATTAGGGAAGAACTAATCAGAAAGTGGTTGTGCTCAGTGGGGCAGGAAAAATAAGCTGAGCTGTGTTTCTCACATATGGAGCACATGTTTCTCACACGCTTCTCTCACTAAGAGCTGAAGGGAAGAAGAGGACAACATTTCAGACTATTACTTTACTACATTGTCCAAACTTCCATCTAAACACCCATGCTCCCAGCAACCCTACCTGAGGCATGAGCAAACTCTCTTCCAGATGTCACATGCCATGGGGAGCCTCTTCTTCTTTTTCTTCTTGGCCATCCCCACCATCCTGTAGACCTCCAGCTGATGCTTCTCCAGCTCATTCTTTGTCGACTTGACCTGGCCACACTCTTTATGCTAGATCTGCTTTTCTCTCACGACCTGACAGCATTTCATGTGCACGTTCAGGTGGCAGTAGAAGTGAAAGACCTTATCACAGGCTTTGCAACAGGCTTTGCAGACAAAACTCTCCTTGGAAGAAGCTTTGTCTTGGGATTCCTTTGCTTCTTTGGCACCGGCACCTCCTGCCTTGTACTTATCTTTGTCCAGAACTACAAATTGGGATTCACTGTTCACCTTCCACCTCCCAGGTTTCTGCCCTCTTCCCTCAATCAAGAGACCTATGCAATTACTGTTTTGGTGCTGACCAGTAGGACTGAGTATCTGCCCCTCAGTCTCCCATCTCCCGAATGCTCCTACATAGTTTTCCCTGCTCAGATGCAGCAGACACACATCAGACATGCTGTCCCATCACAATGGTGACACACAGCTCTGCCCAGAAGTGGTTCTGGCCATGCATGGTTAGAAACATAAAGACTGATCCTTGAATTTCTCCACCACACATGCAAGGGTCTGCATGAGATGCCAAGAACCAGGGCCAGATTCTCCTAAAAGCTTGTTTCTCAAACTCTTGCTTCCAAGCATTTGTCTCCTGCTCAGAAACTTGAAGTTACAGCCATGTTTGCAGACCTGAACCTCAGGTATACTAGGATACTACCAAAATCTGCCACTAAGAGTGGATATCCAGCCCTTAATTACAAGAAATCTCAGAAACACTTCACAAACACAGACCCTTTGAAAAGGAACAGATAATCTTGCTATGACCCTTTTGAGTCCTCTGCTCAGGGCCCTGAGGTTTTTAAACCACTCATTATGTTAATTTCTTAGAAAGCACAAATGCCTTCCCGAGTCCCTCTAACACCATCACCTCAAAAAGCACAAGCTGGAAAATTCACCCAGGATCTCAATCTACTGAAAAGACCCACAGGAAATCTATGTATGGGAGAAATCAAAATACAAACGGAAACATTCGTCTTCTTTACTCTAATGAGAACCCAGAACTGTGTCGCCGTGGAAACTGGCACAGACTTCTCCTTTTGCCACTGTACAGGAAAACTCATCCCTGACTTGAAAAACTTCATCTTTGCCTTCCTCACTGTGGGAATAGCTCAGCACAGTGTCCCCTCGCACAGCACCACTGCCCCAGATTTCCAACCAAATAAAGACCAGACGACATATATCAATGGCCCTGGAAATCTTAAGACACCAAGTGGTGATCCATAATCTGCAAACACATCAAGGGAGAACAGCAGACTGGAAAACTGGTTTCCAGTCTGTCCTGTTCTATCAAAGTCACTTTGACTCGTGACCTCTAAGATTTCTTTCCACATCCCTTCAACCAATCCTGTCAGTTTTTCTGACCTAAGTGAAGAATGATTTTTCAATCTACCAGTGAGATGGCAAATGTCTTTTTATTTAAACAAAACCATGTAGAGCAAAAGCCTTTTTTATAGAGCTCTTGACACATTTCTGATATTTGAGAGTAAGACCAATCTTGACAAATATGATGTCCTAAATGACTGTAGAGAGCCCTGGAAAGCAGAAGGCTGGGGAGGAAGTTATGGAGCTGGCTGAAAGAGCCAAACCCTGCCCTTGCATGCACCAGCTGCCAAGAATGACAGTGCTCTGACTACAGCAGGGTTCAAAGGAGAAGCCAAGAGATTCCATGTTGTACCTCCACCAAAGAAAGCAATACTTGCAGTGCTGAGCATGGTTGGAGATGGATGCAGTTTCTTCCACAGGGATGCTCTGTGCCTTCCAAGTGCTTTGGTTCACCTAACTTAATTACTAGAATTTTTTGAGGTTTTTTGCAGTAGAGAGGCAAAACCTGTTGTTTTCCTGTGGATGTGCAAACAGAATGGATCTCCCATGCAGCACATACATCCCCAGAAATGTAAGGTCTCCTCAGTTTTATAATAGGAAACTCACACCTCCCTGACATGAGGCCTGCAGTTATCACCCATATCTCATGCCAAAAGCTACAAGGTCCATAAAGTCACTTGCAATATGTGGGCCTGGTAAGCAGTGATGTCAGAGCTGAGTAGACTGGCCTGGCCTCAAAATTAAGATATGGAAATTCAGTGCAAAGATCTGTAGGATGCCAGCAAGAAGCTGGTATCTGACAATCCTCCTCTGGACACTTCACCTAGAATAGATGTTTTTGCCAAGCAAATAACATTTTCCATGGCTTTTGTTTTTGATGATGCTTCTTGCTTGATTTCATCTCAACCTTGGCTTGAAGCCCTGAAAAGCCACTCAGTGGCAGCAGTCTGCTCTCTTTGATATTGCTGCCAGAGAGGCAGCAGCTGCCAGAGCAGCCACACTGACTCCCCAGGCCCCTCTGCTACACACGCCGAGGTGTCCAGGAGTTCACTCAGGCTGCACATTCACAGACACATGAATTGTTGGCTCATCTGCTCCAGAGTCATCAGGGCATCAGCCCTGGCCCACCCCACGGACACAAGAGTCAGGGGGAGTGGGACAAGTGCCTGCAGCATCCGAAGGTGACAGAATCAATGGCAGATAAGAAAGAATCACCCTTTCTCTAGAAATCAAAGCCATGACCAGGTGAAAATGCCAGCTGGATTGGTGGCAGCTCTTGCTACAGCTATAAGAGATAATGTAGATCTGAACTGGTGTCGGATTTTCGGCTGTTTAGATGGTCCGGGAAGGCCCGAGATGGCCTTGGGCAGCCCGCGCTCCAAAGGACGAGAAGGGACTTCAGATCTTTTCTCGGTCTCGGTGTTTATTAAATGCTTATCTAAAAGATTTTCTCTGGGCCTGACAGAGTTCTGCTCAGCAGTCAGCCATGGGCACACACTGAGAGCCCCTGGGGCGGCCACTTATCTTTATACTCGGAGTTACGTATACAATATTTATCATTTTTCTCCAATACCTTTCACCCTTATTGACAAGTGTACATTCAGTAAGAACCAATCTCAAACTGCCAACATCACCACAGAAGATGGAGGCCAAGAAGAAGAAGAAGAAGAAGGAGAAGGGCACGCCCCAATTCCTCCATCTTACTTCTCTAGACCCCCCTGTACAGAAATCTTAAACCCTTTATCTCACACTCCAATTAACTTATCCCTTCACCGTTCACCCCAGTGAAATCCTCCTATCCTCATACTGATGTCGTCTCTCGTGTGGGATCAAAGTCCAGCCACCAGACATTTCTGGCAACATTCCAGGACTCCCGAGCCCCCCAGAGGTGGTCTTGGTCACCCTGCACCTCAGCCCTGAGAGGCTGAGATCCCACAAACTGGGAGTGAATATTGGATTTGCAGCATAGGACCTCTCTCAGGAGACCACTGAGGCAAGGAATGGGAGTGGAGCATGTGCTGTCATCCTCCAGGCCCTACTACATCAGTCATCATGTGTTGAATATAGGTAAAACCTTATAAAATAAGGGCTTTGTTACCCTTGTAGAATCATGGCTCAGGCCTGCTACTTTGGCTATGCAGAAGGGGGCTGTGGGAAAGTGACTCAGCTGAATTGGAGGTAGAAAAACAAGCATATAACCATTATGTGCTCACATTGTGGTTTATGGTGGTTGGTTGAATTATATTTGTTATACTTCAATGGAACGTAACTGATAATGTCCTAACTGCTTAAAAAGGCCTGATTTTTGCAATGAAGCAGCTCTCCTTTGCACCTGCCTGAGGACTGTGCACCATGCTGCTTGTATAATCGAGATCCTTGGTTTCTTCTACCTGTGCCCTGCTCCCAGTCACCCACTCCCACCTTCCACCCCAGCAGCATTTCCTCACTGCTCAAGACCATAGGCAGGCCAACAAGCCCAGGGTTCAGAGGCTGACCTGCCCCCTGCACATGGGGGACAGGCTTTGCCTGCCCCTGCCACATATGAAATGATGGCAAGTGTCAAAGCCATGAGGCTTGTGTTCATTCATAAAGACCAACAGCCTTGACCCAAATTTGCATATGAAGTAATCAAACCTTCTATCCCTACAAAACCCCGACATATTAACAGCAAACTGCTTTTCCTGTAACTCCCCAGCAATCTGATGGTATTTCCACACTGCTTGTCAGCTAAGCAGCTCTGGCACCGTAAGAAAATAGGAATGGATTGGGCCTGTACTTGGCTAAAAACCACACTCAGCACATCCCAGAAAACTCTGCAGTCCAAATAATCTCAATATGCTGGGAAACAGATGAAAATATATGTAAGCAAACAGAATAAGCAAGTCACATTTGCATCCTTTCCAGGAGAATTCACACCTGCAATTACCTTCATGACCCTCTGGTATCCTTGTCATTAAAGCATCAAATTCAGTTAAGCATTTTCTTTCAAATGATGGATGCAAAGTTACAATTTAACTCAGTTGGAAAGCCTCAAACAGCACAGGGCAGGACTCACATGTGGTTATTGCTCTGCATTTGTTCTGGAGTTAACAAATTGCTATCTGCATGTGTATTGTCCACAATTTTGCCAAACTAGTATAGCAGGTAACATTGTCCTACTGCTGTCAGACCCTCACAGGGAGGTATTTATCTGTAAAGTGCATACAGAGCAAGACTAAATTAAAACATTCTAAGAAAATTAACTCAGAAAATAGTCTGGGACTACAAACTGCATTGTTATGGTCATCTTTGCACTAGACCAGTGTGCTCTGTCATGACCTTTCCTCCACACATCTAATCTGAATCTGCCTTCTGTCAGCTTAAGGCCATTTGGCCTGGTCTTGTCACTGCTTGCCCCTACAAAAAGTCCCTCTCCAGCCTTCCTGTAGGCCTTCATTTTAATAAAACACCCAATAAAATATCTGGCACACTCTCACTTCAGCAAACGGGCACTTCCAACTTTGGACGGCTTCCCAACTTAAGCAAAGACCCTTGATCTCAGGGCACATTGGGACCTGCCCACCCTTTGAGCGTCAAATCATGCCTGCTATGAGAACATCCCATCATACCTCTTTCACTGCTTCCCTGAGCCCAGCCTACCCCAAAGCCAAGCCCTTCAGGTCTTCTCTTTGCTGGATGGCTTGGAGATCAGCTTGCCATGCCACAGGATGATCTCAAGGCTGTGTTCTCACTGATAGCCACTGAAGATGAAAATAAAAAACAAAGGTATTAAGAACACAAACCCAAGAAGAACCTGAAGCTGAGCTGTTAACAGAAGTGACTTCTTCATGGCACAGAAAACACCCAACTACCACATTCAAGCTTTGGTTGTACTAATTGCAGCACTGACATCCAGCATGAGGTCCTTGCAGACCTCCCCTCTCACTGCTTGTCCAACTTTGGGCAAGAAGATCGGGTTTTCTAAGGTATGCTGCTGAAAGAGACAGTGACAACTTCAAAAGGCAAGGCATGGTTCTCCCAAGAGTCAGGATTTCTTCTCTCCCTAGTTACAGAGATTCCAGCTTCTGCAAGGAACAGGCATTCCTAGGCACAATTTGCCTCATCTCAGGACAGCCCCATGAAAATTGGTTGGATGCACCAGGGATCAGAGGCGCTGGTTTTGCCAGTCAGAACACAGAGGGGATGGGGGAGATCAGATGGAGGCACCTGGCTGCAGGTGAACCCCAGCTCTGTGCCCACAAGGCCAGCACACAAAGTCAGGCCCCACAAAGCTGACTAGTCCTCACACTTGTGTAAGAGTTTGACAACAATTTAGAGGTACAAGCACGGTTTAGGTTTTAAAGCAGGAAAACTGAAAGCCAAGGCTCTGGGGAGGACAGGATGGTGGCTGCACAGAGACCTCTGATGAGCCCTGGGCTCTCAGACTGATGTGCCTCCAGCTGACTGTTACCACAGAATGGTGGCCAGCTCTCAAAGGTTTGCTCATTATAAAACCTGCATGCACAGAGCCACAAGCAAAGCAGCTGTGTTTTCCAAAGTGCTTTTCCAGCTATAACTGTTTCACCAGGGACATAGGTGTTGAGAGCCACTGGAAGAAAAGAGGTTACTGGCCAGGGAGGGATGAGGAGTTAGAAAGCAGCTGCTGCCAGCAGCAGGAGAAACTCAGGGAAAGAGTAGGAGGACACTTGTGAGGAAGAAAAATTCTGAGCTGGGTTGTTTCTAGATATCCTTGATGAACAGTTTTGGGGATGCAGATTCCTGCACAGTCATCAGCAGTTGCCAAACAGCAGAGACAGACAAGGACTGCCGCTCCAGCACTGCCAACACAAGGCAGGTGAAACCACTGCCTCCTACTCACAACCTGCTCCATCACCTTGGAGAGACCCTTAGGGAGGCACTAACAGGGACCCCTTCCACCTGCCTCCTGCATCACACTCAGACACAGAATCCCCTAGAAGTATAGAATATTCTGACTTGAAAGGAACAAGGGCATGACTGAGGCTCACCCAGACCCAGCCTGTCCTTGGTCCTACCTGCTGCAGACTTGGCTCACAGTGCAGCTGAAGCGGGGACCACTTAGAACCTAAACACATCAGCCATTCCCTCAGCTTGCTGTGAACAAACATCTCTCCTCAGAGCTCAAATCAGCCACTCTTAGTTGCTAATCTTCAGCTTCATATACATTAGCCTGCCTCAATCCCACTACAGAATACTAAGGAATCTTTAAACCAAGTCCTGCTGGAAGACTGTCTGAAACCCAGAATGGCAGGTAGTAAATCAAGTCCTTAGGAATTCCAGTATTTCCCCCCAGATGGGGATGAAAACTCTGTATCTGCTTGCACAGGTGTAGGAGCCTGTTCATATCTCTCTCTGCAGGAGCCAGGCTCCATGCAGCAGAGATGTCCTGCAGCAGCACCTGGGTGTCTGTCAGGAGCTCCACAAAGTTCTCTTGGAATTGTCACAACGGTTTGGCCCTATAATCCTCTGGGCCCCATTTGCCTGAATTCAATGAATGGAAAAACAAACAGCTCAGCTTGCAGCATCTTCCCAAAGGGCTCCAAAGGCAGGGGAGACAGGAAAGGCTCAGGCACTCAGTCCTCCCCAGGTCACTAATGCTCAAGGCCTTATGCTCGGCACACTCAGAGTCACATTCCAGCAGAGGATGAACATGACAAATCAGAACTTCTCCAATGCAGAGACAATACAGACTATCTTCTACACTCATGTGCAAACAGAAATTTGGGTGCAAAGAAATGCATCTTTGGCACCCAAATGTCTCCTGAGTATCAGTCCCAGTCTGAGCCCAGAGGAAGAAAATCTCAGTGCTCAGCAGATGAACACGGGGCCTTGTGTGTGAAGGCAACGCTGTCAACACCTCAAGATGTTTTCAAGCCTCTTCTGATACCCTGGAATCACAAAGACCCCATTACTGACTCTTAACTAGAGCTTCATTGTAAGTGGTCTGTAAGTCAGTGTTTGATCCACTCCACCAAGAAGGAGCTTGGAAATGCCCTGGTTCATGTCCCTCTCATGCCCTTGTTTGACTATCAAACACATCAAAATTTTACACTCAGGTGGTCCAAGGTAATCAAGAACTCAATGGACTGAGTTGCCCTTGGTGAAAATGTTAAAGGCACACAAACCAGACTTGCAATTGCAGAGCAGCTGTAGCACCTTCTTCTCCTTCTTACATCAAAAAAAAAGTAACTTTAACCTCATTCCTTTCTCCTGTCTAATTCTAAGCTGGATCTGCTGAATTTGCCTTGATGAATCAGAAAAATGATGACTCCAGAGTAAAACCCCAACCCTTTAAAGACACCCCAGCATAAGGACATGATAGACTAAGTCAGGAAGAGGAGCAGTGTTTATTCAGGATAATGAAGAGACTTGGGCAAAATCTACTGTGTCTCAAAAGTAATCTAGGATTGTACTTGTCACTTGATAAATAAAACTGGAAATTGGCAAATATATTAATCTGAAAACTATTTTTTCACCCCCATTGCAGTTACTATGTTGAAGAAGAGGCACAGTTATACTTCCGTGGAAGAAATCAAACACAAAACCTGCACGTCATCCCAGACATCCATGCATGATTTTTGTGCTTGTGTCTTTTAATCATTCTGGTTCAGTATCAACAAGAACAATCCATCATTCCCACAGCACTACCTGGGAGAAAAGCAGGAAGCACAGCTTGGGAAAAAAAGGTAAAGTCTCTGGGACCCAGAAAATACACAGTGCTGTGTAAGAAGAGAAAACTCTCTGGGATAGGAAGGAAGCAACAGCAGGCTGGGGGGATATGCAGTGGAAGATTCTGAGCTACTGTGAACAGCTCCCTGAAAAAAGACTTCTTGGAGACATCAATCTGGTCCCCAGGAAAGCAAAGGGAAATTCACAGATGCAATATTTTCCTTCTGCTCCCATCAGAATGTTTCTGATTTTATGACATAAAATTGAGTTGTTATGAATGCACTCACTGCTCTGCCACCATGCCAGGGTGATCTTGAGAACCAGCACATGCCATGTGCCACAGTGTAGGACCTCCTGCTCCCTATTAGCTGTACAGCATGGGACACCAAAGGTACCACCAGTTAATTCATCAGTTGCCAGCAGACTCAAATCATCCCCTCCCTCTTCATTTTCATCATAAGAAATATCTGTGCTTCTGTTTGTTCAAGCTGCAATTTGAGGAAATTCAGTTCTGTGTAATTAAGTAATGCCCCTCCTTGGAATGGGTATTACCATGAGATAATTAACCATGCTGGGAATCTGGTGTTTTGAGAAAGCAATCGTGCTTAACGAATGACAAAGCCAAGCGCCTGTTGGGAATGTTTGCTACAGAGGAAATTATCAGCATTATGCGTGCAGTTTTGCTTTCTATTAATTCTTCATTTACATTTCACTGCATGTTAATTTAGTTTTAAATTTTATATGACTTCAGAGTCTCTCGATTTGAATTGTTCAGAGTGTGCCTAAACTTGGAAGGTTGTCCCACCAGGCAAAAGATGGGGGCTCCTGAATCCCTGAACCATCACAGGCAGGCATCAAACAATAAAATCCCACCAAAATGAGTAAGAGGAGTGGCCTGGCCACGCAACAGGATGATGTGTAATGGGGACACTAAGTGTAGGATTCCCATCAGCACACTCTGCTCCACACAGGAGACCATGAGTCAGTGACCAACATAAGCAGAAATGCTACCTGGATCAAGTAAAGAAGCACAGCCCAAATAAACCCAAATAAATTCCTCTCCCCCCCCTCCCATCTTCCCCAATCACACGGAATTCCAAGTAAGACACTGTATTTAACATCAAGACATCTCCAGCTTAGGGGAAGTTTTAGGTATTTGTTTTCAAAGGCAGTACTACCATAGAGTAAAGTCACCAATGGAAGTTTAGTTTGGTCACACCATCACCATCAGAGATGTTTGCTCTTGCCACCAAGTTGTCTGGCAGAAGCTGGAGTCCAGGGAAGGATGCTTTCACAGCCTCCAGAAGTTTCCACTTTCAGGGTTTTCTCTTCATCCACCTTCCTGATCGGATTGTCCATGGCTTCCCTCTGAGAGCTGCCTTCACAGCAATCCAAAGCTACCTGTAACAAAGAAACAGTCACAAAACTGTGACAACTTCCTACAACCTCCTGGATCTGGACAGAGATCAGAAAAACAGCAACAGTACCACAATACTGCACTAGATCCCTACCCACTGCTTACACAATTTAACTGAAATGGGTTATAGGGGGGCAGGGGGCAGTTACAGGAACACCCAAACGTGGCCGACGTGTAACAGATATGTCACCTTGAAAACAAACCTGGTGGGTTCTTCCACCAAGTCCAGCTCTTGGAAGTGGCTGATGAGCCAAAAACTACTTTTTAAAAAAAAACAAAAGTAGACTTAAAGAGAGTGTTCAAAGCAACATTTCATGTAATATTTTTAGTGAATACTTTTTTAAACTGTCAGTCTCGATTTGCTTGTCTCCGCAATTTTTCTGCTTGCCATCAAAAAACTGATGGCCAGAAGAAAATACTCTGATTATTTAAATAAGCAGCTAGCTATTTACTGAATTATTATTTCTGTGACAAGGCCATGTGAAACATCTCTTACGTGAGATGCAACCGCGGTAGTTTGGAAAAGCTCTAGGATGCCAGCAAAATACCTCTAAGGCTCCTACAAGGGAGAGGCACTTGGCAAGAACCAGTGACCTCCTTTCCACCAGCACTGTGCTCCTGAGCAGAAACTTTTCAGGGCACCAGCCCAGCTCCCTGATGTCAATAAGCACTACAGAGTCCTATCAATTAAATTATAAAATTATTAATATCTGTCCTAAAACATTTTTGCTCCCTTTTCCCTGGTTGGTAAGATCTTCCACAGCCTCATTCCCCCACTGATTTTTCTAATTTTCAGCTGAAATTTATTCATGGCCAGTGTATGTCTGTTTGTTCATGTGCCAATACTATCTTTTAGTTTTAAAAGCCTTTTAAACTCTCTGAGGTGTTTACCCTACCCTTCCTCTTTGATTTCATTATAAGAGCATGATCATATTCCCTCTCAGTCTTCATTCCCCTTATCTAAATTAGGCAAGTCCTCTTATAAAACAGCTTCTACACTCCCCTAGCCTTCCCACTGCATATCTGTCAAGTTCCAGTATGAATTCACCTTTTTTGAACCAGACTGCAAGAGAAATTCTGGATGAGGTCTTTACCCTTAGTTCTCATTACTGCACCCAACGCCCACCCGTCACTTCATACTGCCACACCAGTCCGTTCCCAGTACTCAGTTCTCCCACCATGGAACTGGAGAACTGAATTCATGGAATATAGAATCATAGAATCATTTAGGCTGGAGAAGCCCTCTAGGATCATCACGATCACCCATCAACTAGCACCACCACCATGTTCACCACTAACCCATGTCCTCAAGTACCACATCCACATATCTTTTAAACCTCCCCAGGGATGATGACTCCATCAGCCCTGCCTTGGGCAGCCCATGCCAGTGCTTAATAACCTTCACAGTGAAGAAATTTTTCCTAATATCCAATCTAAACCTCTCCTGGCACAACTTGAGGCTGTTTCATCTTATCCTGTTACCTTTTTACATAGGAGAAAAAACCAACTCACACCTGGCTTGGACCTCCTTTAAGGGAGCTATAGAGAGTGAGAAGGTCCCTTCTGAGCCTCCTTTTCTCTAGGCTGAGCTGCCCCAGCTCCCTCAGCCACTCCTTGTGCTCCTTCTCTGGACACTTCAGCTCTTCAGTGACTTTTTTGTCATAAAGAGCTCAAAACTGAACACAGTTCATTCTTCTCTCTCTTGCAGATCCTCCTCTGTGTGGACAAAAGATTTTGATTGTGCTCATCATCAAGATTTGCTAAACATGCCTTGGTATTTTTGTGTCCATAACATCATAATGTTAATATGAAGTAAGTAACAATATTAATTAATATTAAGTAAGTACCAAGAATCCCACTAGTGACCTTGCTACAAGTTGTGAGTCCTGCCTTCAACACAATCTGTGGTTGTCTCCCAAAGAAATGCATCCTTTTTAGTATCACTGTTTCTCCTAGTTTAACAACTTCCTTACATGAAATTCAAATGCTTTGCTCTAGATCTAGACCAAGGCAGGAAAAAAACCCCATTTTTATCTCATGAAATAAAGAACCCAGGTCAAGCAGAAGCAATTTAGTTAACACCTGAGAGGGACCAATCTGATTTTTATTTATGCTGCAACATATATTGTGTTCTTATAGGGGCTGTACATGTGCTAGCAACCCTGACCCCAGGAAGGCTTCGCCTGGCAGCCAGTCAAGGCAGACAAAGCCCCCACTGTGGGTAGGACTGTGAATCACACACACACACACACACAGACACGCACTGACACACAGAGACACACACATGCACACAGACACACCCACAACGACACACCCACACACACCCCGACAACCACACACACAGACACATGCACACACAGACACACACACACCCACACACACACCCACAACCACACAGACACACACATGCACATACACGCACACACACAGACACACACACCCACACACAGACACACACACGCGTGCACACACACAGACATACACAGGCATACACACACGCACACCCACACACAGACCCACACACACACGCACACCCACACGCACACATACACACATACACACCCACAGACACACATGCGCACACACACTCACACACAGACACACAGACACATGTGCAACACGCAGACATACACACCCACACACAGACCCACAGACCCACACACGCGCACACACACACTCACACCCACACACACCCTCCGCCATTTTGCCCGTGAGGCAAATGCCCGGGTGCCTGCGACGAATGCCCAGGAAATGAGACTGTGGGAGGAACGTTAGCACACGAAAGCAGCTAAATGCAGCACAACAGGCCCTCCCCCAGACACAACTGGAGATGCTCTCCAGTTATTCAGCCCCCATTTGCTTTGGGTACCTTGGAGGGAGGGGGGTTTGCCTGTAGGGTCTGCTCAGCCCTTCTCCCTCCTTCTGGCCTTTTCCTCCCTGCGGTCCTGCTTCCCTGCTTCACCGTTCCCGAAAAACCAGCTCGCCATCGCGACGACCTGGTGTTCTGCTGCCTCCCCAGTGAAGCAGGCGCTGCTGCAGCCCGCTGGCCCTCATGCTTCCCAGGCACTGCCGCCGCCAGCCTGACCAGACGCGCCCGCAGCCCCCTATGCTTGCCGCTGTGTTTGGGGCGCTGCCGCCGCACGGACCTGCCCTGCAGCGCCAGCCCGGCTGTGCTTGTGCCCGGTGCCCGGCCTGGTGCCGCCGCACGGACCTGCCCTGCAGAGCCAGCCCGGTTGTGCTAATGCCCGGTGCCCGGCCTGGCGTCGCCGCACGGACCTGCCCTGCAGCGCCAGCCCGGTTGTGCTAATGCCCGGTGCCCGGCCTGGCGCCGCCGCCCGCGCCCGGCCGCACCATCGCCCACAGCCGCCGCGCCCCGACCCCCAACACCCGCGGCTGCTCCAGGGCCGTGCCCGTGGCCACGGCAGCCCGCTCGCCCCGACGGAAGGAACACGCAGTCTGCTACTGTTTAGATATCGTGCCTGGCCCAGCAGAGGAGCTGCGGAGACGCAACGCGGTTCAGAGCACACACGCTCTGCCTGCTAAGCTGATGCCGACAGACCACCTGGGTTCTTGTGGTAATGCTGTCCCTGTCTTCTGTTTCTTTCTCCTTCTCTCTTTTCCTCTCCCTGCTCCTTTTCCTATCCCCCTTAGTAGGAACACTTAACCTTTTTTATCAATAAACAGTTCTCAGATATACTGTTGCATTTGTACTTTATTTTAGTCCAAGAAATCTATCAGAAGAATCCTCCCCCTTTTATAGCAGAACAGGACGATGTCCTTTACTGCATTTTCTCCCCATTGTTTTTTTAAATTTTTTTCCTTACAAGTTTCACCTATATGTGCTCTCCTGCCTGTCCCAAAGAGCTCAGATCACTGCCTTTCTCTCCGAAATGTCTGGTCCTGCTCATCAACTGTTGGGACCACTCTGAGCTTGGAGAACAATAAGAAGCCTTCTGTCACTTGCATAGCACAGGTGTCAATTCTTCCCATCTGTTCACAGAATCACAGAATAGTTATTGTTGGAAGTGACCTCTGGAGATCATTTAGTTCAATGCCCCTGTCATGGCAGGATCACCCACAGCAGGTGACACAGGAACTCATCCAGGGGGATTTGGACTGTCTCCAGAGAGAGGCAGACTCCACACCCTCCCTGGGCAGCCAGTTCCAGTTGTCTGCCACCCTCAATGAAAAGAAGTTCTTCCTCATGTTGAGGTGGAGCTTCTTATATTTTATTTTCTGGCCATTGCTACTTGCTCTGTCACTGGGCAGCACTGAACAGTCTGGCACCATCCTCTTGGCGTCTTCCTTTGAGATATTTGTAGGCATTAATGATCCATTCTCAGTCTTCTCCAGACTATCCAGGTCCAGCTCCTACAGTCTCTCCTCAAAAGAGAAATGCTGCAGGCCACTCATCACCTTTGTAGCTTCTGCTGGACCCTCTCCAGTAGCCCTTGTCCTTCTTGGGCAGAACCAGACACAGCATTCCAGGTGCTTCTCACCAGGGACAAGTGGAAGGGCAGGGTGACCTCCCTTGACCCGGTCACAGTCTTCCCAATGCCCCCCAGGATCCAACTGACCCTCCTGGCTGAGAGGACACACTGCCAGCTCACGGACAGCTTGTCACGCACCAAGATCCCAGGGCCTTTTCAGCAGAGATGCTCTACAGTTATTCAGCCCCCCAGCTGTTCTGGTACTAGGGATTATCCCTCCCCAGGTGCAGGACCCTACACTGCCCTTACTGAACCTCGTTCAGTTTCTCTCCACCCAGTTCTCCAGCCTATTAAGGTCCTGCCAAATGGCAGCTCAGCCTTCAACTATATCAGTTACTCCCTCCAGTTCTGTATCATCACCAAACCTGCTCAGCCTATCCCTTCATCCAGGGCATTGATAAATAAGTTGAATAAGTATTGATCCCTGGGGAATGCCACTCACTACAGACCCCCAGCTGGATTCTATTCACAACTCTCTGCCATTCAGCCAGTTCTTGATCCATCTCACAGTCCATTTACCTAACCCACATTGCCTGAGCATACCTATGAGGATGTTGCAGTATCAAAAGCCTTGATGAAACTGAGATAGACACCATCCACTGTTCTCCCCTCGTCAACCCATCCGGCCTTGCCATCATAGAAGGCTTTCAGACTGGTCCTAATGGATTGTTGAGGGATGTCATTTGAGTTGTGATTTTCCTTTACCTGCAGGAAATTTGTGTCTCTGTGTTTCTCCTAGATGAGGCTCCAAGCTAAACCATGAATTTTCAAGGTCATCTCCTCTATTTTTTTCTTGGTCAGACAATATCTGTTGTGATATCCAGCAACCTGATGTGCCACAAGCTTCCTCATAGCTCCACAGTACATTTGTTTGCCTGTCAGACATTTCAGCCATTCCCTGAACTTCCTAAAGCTCTTCCTCAAGTTATTCACTCACTCAGGTATATAACCTCTCATATAAGATCTCTCTCATTCAGGATGCAAACTTCAGACAGTTCCCCTACCTTAAACATAAAAGAAACTAATCCAACAGCTCCTCCTGCGCTCTAATGAGCACCTGAACTCCTTAATTAGTTTCTCTCATTTCTAAAGATCTGTCCTTTTATAGACCAAACTCTGCTAGTGAACCTGCTGATGTATTTTCCTCTTTAATTCACACTGACCTGCCTCTAGATCCCTTAGTCTGAAGTCCTCTTCTGAGAAAACACAAGAAGAGGTACAAGAGCAGCATCCTTCAGGGAGCTCCTGCAGTAACCTCCCACAGCTCCCAAGCAGAAGAAATGTCCCTGGCAGTGGGAGATGCAGCGGTGACATTTTAAGACTTATTTTGACACCACCAGGTGAGACAATTAGAAAACGGCCCCCAGTTCTGCTTGCAGTAGGATTTTTCCATTCCCAGTGTAACTAGTTAAAATTCCTGCAGTGGCTAACAACCTGCTTGCACTATCCCTAATACCTGTCTGAGCTCTGAAGCAGCTTGGTTTGAGCATCAAGGTCTGCAGGCACTGGAGTGAAAAGGGAGAGAAACGACATAGCTCAGAATACCCAGGTGCCTTCTAGAAGACAGCCTAAACAGAAGGAAAAGGCTGATGTTTCTACTACCTACTCTGATTTTCTGGGTTCAGTGCTGTATTGTGGAATGATCACTGAATTCTGAAACAAACTAAGTGGTGTGGTGCACCATGCAGGAGAAGTTACCCACTCTGTATCCGCTTCATTTCTCTTAAGTGATAACCTGTATCCAAATCCTCTGTCCCTTCCAAATTACAGAAACACCAAAAAAGCCACAGAAGTTAAGCACTCAAAAAAGAGAAAGGCTAAATTCAAAAGTTATCCAAAAAAATAGAGATTTACAAAGATGCTTCACAAAATATCATGTACTGGTTTTCCAGCAAAGAAAATCAAACTTGCTCCATTGCACTGCTCAGACCAGGTACAGAAAGAACCCTGTTGCCATGAAAAAAGGCTGTTCCATGAGAAACTCTACTTGTCTTGCTGAATAACTGTGTAGCTAATGACACAGTGATAGTGAGAAGAAAAAGGAAAGCCTCATCTTTATGAACCTCTGGAGAACTAGACCCCATCCTTGCCAGCCCAGAGCTCCAGTGCAACACTGGATGAACCAGGTAAGACAAAACCTTCAGGGGTGGCTGTTAATTCCATGTTTGCTTTCCCAGTCCTACATCTGAGACACTGGGGATTCCACTTGCATACATGCCATGGGCCCATTATTTTTATCAGTTTAACTTCTGGAATAATTAAACACTTTCCCACTTGTCTGGGGAAGAAGGGGTGGAATTAAACAAATAAACCCCCCAAGGTCAGTCTACGCTTGGCCATTTCTGTCTTGTTTTCTTGTGCTGCAGCAGGACGGAGCTCTGCCCACAGCCTCACTGGAGTGCTTCCCAAACAGATCTGTCATTTCATGGAAACTGTGGGCTGAAACAAGAGCATGAAGGGATCCCATAGAGAGGAGCAGGATTTCATATTCGGAGCAGGGTTTGGGGGCTCTGTAGCAAATGGAGCAGACAGTGATTGGCGAGAATGAAAAGAAACACTGCTCCTCCACCAAACGAAGCAGGGGCTCGGCAGTACATGATGATGCAGTTACAGGCTGCATCCTGTTCCCAAGAAGCAGAATTATGATTGCAGAATGATTTTGGTTTACTATAGGGGTGTTGTATTTGGTTTTTTCAATGTGAAGGGAGAGATAGAATTGACAAATTTTAACCATCTAATTCTATGAAGACAAAGAGAAGTGAGCAGGGAAAAAGTGAAGCCTTTAAAAGAAAGGCTGCACTGCAACAGGAACAGGCATATATGAAGATCCTAATCTCCCCACTGCCGATGAAGCTTCAGCTCCAGGCCCCCAACACGGGTCTCTGCTGACAGCCACAATGCCCCCAGCAGATGCCAACTCCTTTGCTATACTTACACCCTGCTCTCTCTTCTAACATCTCCATTCCAGACTCAGCTGTGTGCTTTCAGAGGCAAAAGTTCATCAGACACCAGTCACATCCCAGTCACAGCAGTCATACCCCAGCCCACAAAGATAGGACAGATGCCTCTGTTGGCAATACCTTTTTAGGTACCCTATTCCAATCTGTGCCTGTTCTCAGGGATTCTCCATGCTGGATGTAGTGAGGGACCATGAGACCTTAATTGAGGGGCTTATGAGCTGGGCCGAAGTTCTCAGCCCACCTGTTGTGGCTCTGGTCAGGCTTACTCAGACAGAAAGCAGAGATCATTCATGCCACTGAACACAAGTTTCCACTTACTATAATCCTGTGTCAGGGGAGCTGAATGATGTGACAAACTAGGACAGGAGGTCAATCTGCATCCTGATCACAGCTTGTGAGGGCACCCTGTAATTTCCAGCTGCACAGGGTACAGCTAGCTCCCCTCAAAGACAAAGGAAAGCAGGTTATAAACAGCATTTTGTCCTTTATGACTTCTGGAAATCAGCATACAGAATGCAGTTGCTTACAGAAAAGGAAAGCAACAGTCCTCCCCACCAACTGCTGCCTGCAACACATAAGAAATAAAACCAAATTATTTAGTAGATGCTCCAGTAGATGTTACAGGCAACTGTGTGGTAAGAGTTGCAAAAATGACAGAAAGCTGGGAGACAGCTGAAAGAGAAGCTGATGACCAGGAACTGACAAGCAGGTAGCAGAGAGGTCGTTAGTTGTTCTTTTCAAACACCCCTATAGAACCTTGCCCTTGCTCCCAAAAAGGCTTTTTCAGGGTATGAGGAGTACTAGGTACCTCCTCTGGCCCTGGCTCCCCTTGCAGGGGTAGTCTGACACTCATCCTGGTCTCCAGGTTGCCTTCACTGCTCAGTTTTCACTATTCCCACAGTCCAGCACAGAAGGACCTGAGAACACACACGTGCAGTCCATGCTGTGCAGAAGGCAGGGAGAAGTGCCAAGTGAGGCTTGCCCATCATCTGGCAAACTATGTGTATGATGCTACCTTGAAGACACACACAGCCCACCCTGTCCACACAGTTTGCCTATTTCAGATTTTTTTTACCTGCTTCTCTGAGGCAGTCAGGAATCCTCTTCTACTGTCTCCAAAACTCTCTGATGGGGCTCAGCTGTGCCACGCTCCGGATCAGCTCCTCCCTGCAGCACAGCAAGCGAGCGGTCAGCGTCTCTTCATCAGCTATGCTCTCTGGGGGGAAAAAGATTCAGAAACACAAGAGAAGAAATAAGTCTGTCTGAAGAAACTGACAAGTTCCTGAAGCAAGGGAGATTTTCTGAAAGATCTAAGTGAATAGCAAAGCTCATCCCAAGCACAAGCAGCAGAGGAAAATCACTTTACTATTCTCTTTAAACTCTGTGAAAGGAAAATGTCTCATTTATCTAACAGAGCACAAAGCCATAAAGCAAGCTGGAAGTTAACACCAGGTTTGCAAGGCCACTGTTTTGTGTCAAACTCGAGTAAAAAAGAAGTTTTCAACCCCAAGCCTCAGCTGTACTCACACTGGCTGCCAGCCATTGATCCAGCCCTCCAGGCAGCAGTGGGGAGAGCCCTGCGCAGCTTCACCTCCTGCTACAGGCAGAAATGCTCCAGGATCTTGGCCAGCACATAATAAACCTCCCACATCCAGATACAGGGTTTCTCTGTAATGTTACCTCCTCACTTTCACAATTTCCTACCTGCTTGGGTGTTACCTGCACCAAATTTCCTACCTGCTTACTGAGGGGCTTCTGCACTGCCCTGTTCCCTCTCCAGCAAAGCCACCCTCAGCTCAGGATTTGTGTCTTGAAACAGCTTCAGAAAAGACACAGGGTCTGAGTGTCCAGGGGCTGAGCATCCCAAGTGTCACTATCCTGGGTGTGAGCATCCTTAACTTTGCCCAGCAGCTTCCTGAACACTGAATGATCCTCTGCCTTGGCCAGAGCAGCCAGAGCTTACAGCAGAACAGAAATGCAGGAAGATTTAGAGAGCAGAGTCAACTGCCCTATACAGACAGACACAACAGGCAGAACCCTGGAGTTTAGGTCAGGGGACAAAAAATTAAACAGAACAAAAAAATAACCACACACACATACCACTGAATGCAAACTCTGGCCTGTGGCCACTCACCCTGGGAAGCAGGGCAACAAGCCCTGCTGCCAGCCCTTATCCATACAGCAAATCCCATAAACTGGAGCTGGTTCCAGCACCAAACGTTTCTTCATGTCCAACTAGCCAAAGACCACTAAGTGTAAAAGACCTGATAAAGCATGAATTTAACACTGCTACTTTGGAAGGCAAAGCTAGGACAAGAGATACTGGATCTCACTGCAGAACAAGGAGGGATCAATTGCACAGAAAGCCGAGGATATTTCAAGCAGAACTTTCAGGAATCTCCATTCTCAACCACAATGGAATTCTGTCTCCTAGAGAAAACTCTGGAGAGGAGGCACATAAACTCTGAGTGCTGTGGGCTCTCAGCACACCTGGCAATCAAACCCAGAGCTCCAAAATCTACTTCAGTGACCTGAAACAGCAATCAGAGGCAGACGTGCTTGTACAGCTATGGAAATAAAAGGCAAAGAAATAAGCTGAAACTCTTACTCCCATTTCCCCAGAGTCCTTTAATGCTGTAAATATTGCCCCTGAAGACTTATGCTCCCCAGCTCTCCAGGAGAGATGGCAGCCTTTCCGAGCAGGCAGCCTTTATTGGAGACTCCAGAGATTCGATAAAGGTACCTTTGAAGTGGGAAGTTCAGCTCCGCTCCAGGGAGAATGGCCATTTTCTGCTGTCATTGTCATTTTTATTCTGATGATAAAAAGCCTGTAGGCAACTGCTTGTGGCCACACCAGGGCCGGTGGGCTGGCTTTTCCTAGCAGGTGTAAATGGTCACACATTAGAGCAGTGTGGCAGTGCAATGACCTATTGCAACGACTCCGCAGAGGGGACACTGCAGCAGTCCCAGCTCTGCCCACGCACAGCAGCTTGCCTGCCTGCCAAACAGAGTGTGGACGTGAAGGGCTCTGGTGTAAAGAAAACACAGATGTGCTGAAGAACAAACATAAAGGTATTTTTTAAATGCAACATTAATTTGTAATGAGACTTGATAACCAGATCATGTTTGTTCTCAAGGTTTGCGTGCCTGGCCCCTTCCAGATCAAAATGAGCATGTAAAACACAAAGTGTCTCCACTCTCACCACCTTAAAGGTGTTCATATCCTGCCAAATCCATGTTTGCACTAATATGGATGAAAAGTAACTTGCATTGTTGCAATATATTTTTCAATTTTAGGGATTTTTAATTAAAATCAGCACAGTATTGCTACCCCGAGCCCCTGGTAACATCCCTTCCTCAGTGCATGGATTTGGTTAATAGAAATGAGTTTTCAGTAACTGAAATATTCTGCTGTTTATAGGCTCTTGCCAGAAGACATTTCCTTAGACAAGTTGCTCAGTGGGAACAACAGCCTTTTAGCATTGTTGTGAAAGAGCACACAGTTTACTTCAGACTTACATCAAAGCACGAACAATTCCCAAAGATCCTGGGAAAAAATGGAGAAATACTGATACCAGCAGGAATCCCAGCTTCCACTTAGTCATGATGTGCCTCCACATTACAGCCTGATCCACCAGGCTTTCACTGCCTCGGACACTACAAAACTCTTCATGGCCAAGTTGGCACAAATTAGCAAACATCCAGCTTCCACTTGGGAGGAAGAGACTGCCTTCTGCACCAGGAAAATGCATCACCAAGACCTGGCTTAAGCATGGTCAGAAGAGCTGTGCCACCAAACAGATTCTATGGCACTCCAGAGGTTTGGTCCCCATTGAGGATATCAGTTCTGGTGGCCAAAACACTCCCACCTCAGCACCATGGAACACATCACACACCATGGAACAGCCTTCCCAGCTCATGTCAAACATGCCCATGTCCACAGCAGCCCCATGGCAAGCTCTGAACAGGTTAACCTCTGCAGGTTAAGGATCCAGGAAATAAGTCTCCTGTCTCCATAGCATCTCCACATCTTCCATGTTTTTCCAGAGATTTCAACCACATGTGCAAATAATGTACACCCCCCCTGAGCAATGTGCAGTGGCCCAAAACTGAACTAAAGAGGGATGTGAGGAGAGACGGAGGGCATGCAGCAGTCATTAGCCCAGCTGGCCATTAACTCTTCTCTGCAGGTGGGTGAGCACGGTTATGGCTTTTCATGCCTTATCCATGCTCCTGCTCCCACCATGAGAGCACATCCCAGCAAAAAGCCACTTTATTGACTATTTATTGATCTCCTTCAAACATCAGCTTTAGAGTGAATGCAAGCATCCAGAGGATGGTGGGTAGGGATCTGCAAGAGACAGATTGGGAAGCACCAGCTCAGGGTGGCACAAAAAGCTGACTCCCTTCAGAGCTGAGGGACACTCAGGTACACTGCAGGAGGTCAGGCACTGTGGGGAAACTTCCATAGCCATAATCATCACTCCTCTGTAAATGCACTCTGCTTTGGGTTTTGATGTACAGGTGGTGATGAAAATATAAAAAAGTGATTGGAAATCTGCAGGGTTAGGGACTGTTTCACTGCTGGCTCTTCTGTGGCTCCGTGGTGATCCAACCTTTGGAAGTTGAGCAGCACTGTTCCATAGGCTGCTGCTGCTCACAGGGTCAGTAGCATGGACAACCTCAGGACTGGCTCCACACACCTCACCCTCAGAGAAGCCCCCTGGCTGTGACCCCGCCATTAAGTCAGTCAACCATCAATCAACTATTGTATTGTGCATACAATAATCAGAGAAAAACTATGTTCATGTTTTTCCTTCAGAAACCTAAAGGGATTTTTTTCAGGCCTGCATCTGTACATGACTCATGAGGGAGATCCCAGGAAGGCTCTGTGGAAAACACTGACCCCCTGCTTGATCCACACAAGAAGAACAAAAGCTCAGCCCAAACTTCTACAAAAATATACCAGAAAACAGGAAAAAAAAGTTCTCTAGCTCTGCCACCATGAAAAAAACCACCAAATCATCACAAGCTCTCTCCCCTAATCAGGATGCAGAAGGTAACAGGAAACTTCTTTCTTCTGCCTCATCCAGAAATCTCTGCAGCTGCAAATGAAGGGCGACAATGACTGGACAGGCCCACAGGCAATGGAAATGATCCACAAACACAGTGACATTTATTCTACCTGGGAGAATCAACGCTCCCCCTCTTCATCTAAACCTGGTAGTAGAGGGAACAAATGAGCTGTGCAATAATTTGAATTGAGTTTCTCTAAGAGAGCGCAGGAAGATAAGACTTGACATCAGCAAAGCTCTTCTACGCTTCTCTAAATTACGGCAATTTCAGTCTTGTTCTCGTTTCCAAGCAGGTTTCATCCAAGCCAAAACCAAATTAGATAGGAATAGTTTATGTGAAATATACAGAGAAAGTATAAAACAGAAACAACCCCAAAAATCACATCTCCCTAAACTGAAAAGCAATTCATCTGCATTTTTCAGTCTGGGGAGCAGAACAGAATATCAAACTCAGAGAGAAGCAATAGTTCTCACAAAAGCCAGCCCCGCACCACAAACTTTGTTGGGGAAAAACCTCACAATCAAATGAGTCTCCACTGGAGGTAGGAGGAAATAGGCAGGAACAGTAGAGGGGAGCAGACCAGAGTGCTGCACAGAACAAGATACCATGCAGGGATGAGTTCACCAGCAAAGGAAAATAAATAGAGAGTCATCCAAGGCCAAATTCCACTAAAACCACAGGAGCCTCAACACCAGGACAGCCTTGGTGCCAATAGCCAGTCTGACAATACTCCCCTAAAATTCTGTGCTGCCCAGGCTTTACTGCCCAAAATAACTGGTGCTTTCCTAGAGGTCAGCTGCTTCCAAAAGGCTCCCGAGAGAATACTCCCGAGGAATGGGAGATCTCCCCTGCAGGAGGGCAAGCACACCCAGCAAGAATGCCTTCTACACAGAAAGTGTCTCACCGGCTTCCAGACACACTTTTACTTGCCCCAAGGCACTCACACTTCAAACAAATGACTAGCAAAAGAATACAAAGAAAGGGAGGGGGGAAAAAATGAGAGAAGAAAAATCCATTGACATCTACCCCTGGCACAACCTCAGCCTGAGTTACACCTCCCAGTTCAGCTCTTTGGAGCTGAACTTGCACTTCAAGCATGACTTTAAAAATACTCTGCTGTGGTTTCCCCCAAAGGAAACACCAGGCTCTTGTGGGGAAAAGCTGCTCTGTGCGCTGGAAACAGACTCAGTGCTAAGGTCCACAGGTCCTGCTGGTCCCAGAGGGAAGCTCAGAGAGGGACAGGTCTGGCTGAGCCCTTGCTTATAACAGGCTGCAGCCTGTTCTCCCACTGCCCTGGGGCTGACACTTCATGCTTGTCACAGTTGAAAAGTGATTTTTCAGGAAGCCTTAAAGAAAATCCATTTTTCATTTATTCAGCACTTATTTATAGCTGCAGAAAAATTGTCCAGCTACCACTCTGCAGTCAGACACCCAAACTGGCTCTGAGCTCCACAACCTCTCCCTTGGCTCCTGCTGTAACAGCTCATTTGGGAGCACAAAAGGCCAGGAATGGATCTGTAAACCTTCCCTAATGGATCTGAAGTGGTGAAGGAACACGAAACGGCAGCGACGGCAAAGCAATAGCAAACAGGGCTGTTGTGCAGTGCAGAAGCTGCAGCACACCTGCCTGGGCACTCCGCCAGCACAGCTCTGCCCTGGCACCAGCAGAAAGGGGAGGCAGGAACAGGGCCAGGGCCAGGGCCAGCTGGCATGGGGGCATGGAGCTGCCAGATCCTTTCTGGCAGCACTGATCCCCAGCACCCACCCCAGTTCGGCTCCATTCGTAAAAGTGCACAACAGGTAAAACCCTAAACCTGACACACTTATCTGATCATGGTGAAAAACAAACATACCAAAATCTAATCCTTCTCTGAGAAGGCACTCAGAGGTGCTTGTCTGCCCAGCTGGGCTTGTGCTTGCTACTACAAATACAGACTAGGACCCACACCTCTCTCTTAAAGCCCCTAATATGTTCCACAACATCAGGAGAACCAGCTGCTTAGGGAACACAAGATTCCCTTCATGAACATTTAAGGGCTCAGCAGAAAACAATCCTGCACTCCCTAACTCAAGGGAATTCTCCTCCCTGCTGTCACAAGTTTGGGCTTTTTTTCTAATAAAGATGTGGTCTTGGGCTTTTATAAGCAGAATGCCACAATGGTAAAAACATATCACGTCCTGTGATCACACATTGCTACTGGAGGGACTTGAATCCAGACAGCTTCCAGCCAGCAACTACATGGGAACCCAGAGAGCATGGCAACCCCCAGCCTACAGAACAGCACTGTTCCAAAGGTTGAATAACCAGGGAACCATGGTAAAGTGAAACAGGAATACTTTTTCCCCTTCAGAAAGGCGTGCAGGACAGTTCATGTAGCTTGGTAGAAAAACGCACTACCAGAAATGGCTGGGTTGAGAACAGCAAGCACAGTCCCATCCTTGTTTTACACTGGCTACAGGTTTTCTGCAGCCCCTGCCACTGCACAGCAGTGTGCAGCCAGCACAAGTGCCCCCCTAGACTCACCACAATCATTCACAAGCTCTGTGTGCTCCTGCTCCACTGTCACACCAGTACAGACATCACATTCTGCTTCTGTGCTGCCCTCGAGCTGGGACAATGAGTGGCACCTGGCTACCACAGCTCAGAGCCCAGAGAACCCCTCAGCATACGCCCAGCTCAGTTAACCCCTCCCACAGGAATCAAGCAGGGTTTACCAACTCTGACTGCTCTTAAATGAGCACGCTGGCAGGAGAAGCACCACGGGGCAGCTCCCAGCTCCCCCTGTCACACCCTGTCCCACTCCTCCCTCGGCAGCTCTGCCGTACAGAGAGCAGCAGATGCTTTACAGCAAGACAGTGCCGAGGGCTCAGGAAATCTATTTTAGGATCTCATATGTCAGCCACTTACAAGTCGATACAATTCCTGAAGCATATGCCAAAAACAGGAGAAGAGAAATCTGTGCTGGAGCTCTCCTACAACACAGGGATGTCTTCAGGGCAGGACATACTTCTTTACCTGCATGCCTGAGCAACTTGCACTTACAGATGCTTCTCTCAGGTGAGCACATGTTGCCCTTCAAACAACCAGGCAGCAGTTTCCCATGAAACAATTTTCTAAACAAGGCACAAAATATTACAGCCCTTCGCAAGGTGAAGAAAAAACTTGCATGATTTATGGAAGTAAACACACCTACCTCCTTTTGAGAGGCATCAATTTCTCTGCACTCTTGGAGTCTTTTCAGCACAGCCTCGGCATCAGAAAGAGCCTCAGAGAAAACATTTTCAGATCAAACAAAGAAATCCATTTTACAGCTTTTGCTCTCTGCTGCTGTGCGAGAGAAACAAGATTAGTTATTTGCTAATTGAATGGATTCACAGAAAGCATGATGTGATTGAAAGGCATCAGTTTGTAACTACCACATTGGCTATAAAAGGAAAACTGTGACTTATAAATCCCTTCTGAAGACATGACACAGCCTGGAGGGAAAACCAACAGTTTATTTAACACCAGTTATAAATGGAACATTTATTTTAAACCCAGTACAGCCTCTGTTTTCCTCCCATCCTGAACAGGAGTTTAAAGGATAAGGTAGCATTAGCAAGCAACTCTGTTCACTTGCTGTTAGACAGATTGTCTAATCAGCCCTATGTCCTGCAGTAACACAAATCCCACTGCGTGGCAATCACATGCCTGGCCAATAAGTTTGCTCACTACAGCTCTGGCAAAGCAATGAGCATGAAGCAACTACAAAAGCCAAAGAAAGAAAATCTCTGCAGATCAGGATACGTTGCTGTAGCTCCCAACCCAGGACAAACTAAAAAGATTAAACAGAGAGTAAAAATTACCCCAAAACAGGCAAATGTGAGCCAACATGTTGCAAATAAGAGGCAATGGTGTGTCCAGACCCATGACATCTCACCTAAATCCCTCGACCGCCCTTTCCCCTCTGGCAGCTCAGCAAGCTCCTGTTCCATACAGCCACTGCACTCAGCTTGGGCAGGCTGGTCAGGGCCAGAGCCTGCATCCTCCCAGAGGGACCTGCACTCACTTGGCATTGTGTCCTGATGAACCCATGTGTGATTCACGGTAAGCTCCTAGCCAGGAGGAGAAACACCTGCTTCCATTTCTGCTTCTACAGGGTAAAGGAGAAACTCCCTGAATGAGGATGATAAATGTTCTTTCTTCATCAGGTCTTCCAGACTGGGGCAGGTAATTAGCTTCAGCTTGGTTTCCAGATGAATCTGCTTCCTGGCTGGTCCTGAGCAGAAGTTATGAGATCCCTGAGGAGGTTTTTGCAACTAACAGCCACATCAAACATCTGCAGACTATCTGCCACCGAGATTACTTTGGTGAAATTGTGTTTCCTCAGTGGGAGTTTGCCATTGTACATAATCTCAAGTAAGAGTGGAAACTCCAAAGGTGTTACCACAGAAGCATCAGTTGGAGATGGTGTCTGTGCTGTCCAACGCGGATTTGAACAGCAGGCTGGCAGGAGCCAAAACCACCTTGTGCATTCTAAAATGCACATTCCCAATGAAGATGGTGCAGTCACAGAAGGACTGCTCCTTGCAGAGAGTGTACAACCAGGGCAGAAACTCCAGCCATAACTGGGAAGCTCCTACTGGCCTCCTCTTGCCTTGGCCTCCACACTGCTTTTACAAAGCTCAAATAATGAAAAGGAAATGGATCCTGGTAGCATTTCTCTCTACAAGACAGAAAGAAAGAGTAAGAAAATGACTTTTCAGTTTACGCGTTTTAGTAGTTTACAATGCTTCAATTCTTTGGTCACAGCAAGATCCTCATTCTGAACTCACACTCCTCAAATTCAGCAACTTACTCTGACACATGAAGAGTCTAGATAGTATTCAAACCTAAATGAGCAGATATGGACTGAGTACTGAGTCCCAGGAGCTATAAAAAAGGAGTAGAGCCTCCCTGATGTGCCATACATCCCATGGAGGTGTGAGTGCCCATCAGAGCAGGCACTGCAGTGCCAGGCTGTGCCTGCAGCCAGGGGCTGGAGCTGATGTTGAATTCAGCCGCTGGTTTCTGAAAGGGCAGGCGGGGAAGCTGTTGTGGTGCGTGTCAGACCGCCAGTGTTCCTGACCCAGCTGGCAGAGGAGCGGCTGGAGACGGGCTGGCAACAACACCCCCAGGGATCTGTGGGGCACATGGGGAAACCCTCTGGTCCCGGGAGCTCGACAATGGTGTGGTCAAGTGGCACGGCAACAAGGAAGGGACAGGTACAGCTGAAATGCCAAAACTGAAGATATTTATTAAATAAATAAAAGGGCGTAAACATGGGTGCAAAACAAAACATAAAGGGGCTACTTCAGAAGACATCGAAGTGAGGCCAACACGCATATGTATAGTCTCTCATAGAATGTAGTCTCTCAGAATGTTCTAGAAGCCTTCTGGCCAATCATGGACTGTTGATCTGCATGGCCACTCCCAACTGGTCCCAGAGTCCCTTCCAAGTCCTTTTCTCCTCACCATAAGCTACTTGGATGTCATCAGTTGTGGTTTCTTCCTTCTTGAGGCCTGATGTTGGAGCGTGGCTGTGTGGCCAGTCCCTAGCCCATCCCTTCCAGGACAAATTTACACAACTCCCCCCTCTTCTTTCATTTAAAATGAAAAGTATAACAGTCTTATTTGAACTAAAATGACACTCTACTTAATGGACTTTATAATCAATTTAACTGAATTGAGAACAAAAATACATAGAATGCTGTAAATAAAGTTTACAACTAAACAGGTGGGTTCATGCTGCAAAGTTAAATAAATAAACAAATGGGTCAACTAGCCTAACTCCGAGGGTCACCCACATAACTAATCAGGAAATAACAGCAATCTCTGCAACATGAATTATAACAAAAATCAGGAACTGCCAATTAAATATAGTAGGAAAGTGGGGGTAGGGTTGAGGGCTGACGGAAAGTGGTTAGGGTAGAATGACAAATCTCCCCTCCTTTTCTGTCCCCTACCCAGGACAGCATGGCCAGTGCTGTCCTGGGTAGGGGACAGAAAAGGAGGGGAGATGGCAGATTCCATCTCCCCTTCTGTTCTCAGGGTCAGTGGGTTCAGGGACATGGGGGGCGTAATGCAAAATCTGGCAAAGGAAGTCTGTTAAATATTGCACAATCAAAACTAAAATTTAAATGATTACCTTATTGAAATGAAAAATAATCTCTTAGCATCCCGACCCACGTAACAAAACAACAACACAATAAATGCATCTCAAAAGAAATCAATTAAATTTAAGAAAAATTCTAGAGGGGAGTGGGGATTGATTGTTTTTGTCTTAAAATGTTGATGTAATGGTTTTAGGGTCTTCTTTGGCAGCTTTTAAATGAAAGCAAGACTTAAAATTGAAAGCTTAGATCCCCTCTCTTCTCTGCTGATCCTCGCGAAACCTCGCCCCCGAGTACCAAAGCCCGCGGTGTTCTAGGGCCTCACATGGGTAATCTCTCTGAGCTGTTCCCAGTACCCCAGTGCTCAGTGCTGGGGGCTGGTGCTCTCCAGTGCCCCATGCTGGGTGCCTGCATCCTCCAGCACGAGTTGCAGCCCATCTCCAGCCATTCCGCTGCCAGCTGGGTCAGAGAGATCACTGGCGGTCGGACACGTGCCGCAATAGGAAGCAGGGCATGGACACCTGTTCAGACCACAGAGGAGAATTTGAGGTGTTGGTTTGAACCTGCAAAGCAGTAAGTGATTTGGGACCAGTTCATTTTCTCCCCCAAAGCACTGGTAAAATGAGCAGGGCCATGTGAACAGTAGAGACAGGACTCTGCTCGCAGCCCAGGGCCTTCAGCATCCCCTTCTCAGCACACCATGGTCTCAGCTCATTGATTTATGAGTCTTTTCCCCTAAAATGTAATTTTTGGGAGAAGTCCATAAAATTAATCCCATCTAGCAGAGCCCCTCTTTAACCTCTATGCCTCCCCACCCCACTGCAGGAGGGAGGACAGATAGGACATCTGCTAACAGAATTTTTATCATTGGGTCATCTGGAGTTTTTATCTAAGATGCACAAGATAAAGATATTACTGCCTTGTCCACACACTAGGATGCCTAACAGTGGCATGTTAGGCAAAAGGGAACAGTATGAGCATTAGAGAAAGAGCACTTGGATGGACACGAATTACATGATCTTCAACGTTTAACATCTTTGCACTCAGCTTTCCTGCTTTCTTGCAGATAACAGGACTAGTATAGCCATTCACCAGGGTACGAGCTTTAACAGCCAATGGACATACACCAATCTCAAAGCTCTGCCTCGCATGAAATCAGGCTCAGAGGATCTCCCACCTTGTACCAAATCACATCATAAGCAGATGCTGGGTGCAGGCTGAGCTGACATCTCACTTCTTGAAGGCACTAACTCCTCTGGAGCTCAGCTTTTGAGCTGTCCACAGGCAGGCAGGACCCCAGCTGTCCTTCTGCATGGCACTGCCTTTGGTGGCTGTGGAAAGACAGAGAATAGAATAGAAGAGAGTAGAGACATCACCTCATCCCAGAGATACAGAAGGCTGAACAACAATGTTGGTAGATACCAGAAATGCAGGAGAGCTCTCCTGTGTAGCCAAGAGCTCCCTCAGGCTTTAAAGATGAAGTGCTATGAAACTTGTTTTACAAGCACCGGGAGAAGATCACAGATGGTTTTGACATCACCTCAATGCAGAGGTGTTATGCTCCTCAGTAGTTCTGAAGCAAGAGCACAGGGCTGCTGAGTCCTTCTCTGTAAGGCAGAAAAAACTGTGGGGGCTGATAGCCCACCCTCCTGCCCCACCTGGCCCCAACAAGCCAGAGCTTCTTCAGGCACATCACTGCCCAAGGCTGGCTGATCTGCAGCTCATCTTTCCAAGCAGCAGATCCACCCCCTCCCCCATGCACAGGGCCAACCACCTGTACTTCCAGTCGATCCAACATGCAGGCTCTGCTTTCCTCCCACACCATTTTAAACCACAAGGAACCAAGCTGCTATCAGCAGCGTTGCTACTGGTCGTGGGAGAAGAGACAAACCCGATTCTTTTGCCAGACTCCATGTAATAGCAGTTTTAGTCCACCCACTCCTTCCTCAGAGGATTTCAACTGGAATCCTTCAGCTGAGTTGAAATTGAGTCTGCTGGTTAAAAAATAATAGCTATGGCTCTTCCTACAAAATGATAAGCAGGAGAAATCGATGTCCTGGAAGAGGCATCTGCTCACTTTGCCATGAACAGCCTCCTGCATGAAACTTACTGCTTGCACCATGGCAAGCTGGAGGAAGCAGCAGCACCGTCTGCTCCCTCTATTCCTGACAGGAATATAGAAGACATATTTGCTCATGAGAGCTCAAAACAGTGAAGCTCTAAGCAGCCTACCAGCATGTCCCCTTCTTCATTACAGCAACTCAGAGTACTGGAAAATGTGTCCTGAGTAATTAGCACAGACATATTTGTTTAAATACATTTTATTTCTTTATTTATAGGAACCCAAACCATCCAGTACCATCAAAGAGAACAGGCATTTATAACAAGGGGTGTTGGCCAAGACCAGCCCCAAGGCATTTGCACCCTATTCAGAGGACCCAAGAGCCAGAGGGGACCACCATCAGCAATCTGATTGCTCATCCATCAGTGCCTCACAGATTTCCATGTTCAGTAACTCGGGTTTGACTGATGTCTCTCTTCCAGTAAGAAACCCAGTCATGACAACTGGTTTTTAAGTGGATTCTCCACCATCACACAGTTAAATTTTGTGTGACTATGTCTCCCAGCCATCCTCTGGATTACTTTTGGGAGATTTGGCTGGGGAACTGGGCAGAACTGGGAATCTCTCTCTGAGAGCAGGTAACTGGTACGTCAGCAGCGATGAGTGCTGACAGAGCCTGCGCTGTCTTCCTCTGCCTTCCTTCCACTGGCAGGAAAAAGCCAATTGTCACTTCTTCAGCTTAAAGCTGCTTCTCTGACTCCTCTTGGGAGTCAGCCCCACTGGGGACTTCAAACTTAAGGTAAAACATGGCTTAAGCAGACTGTTCCTGGGTTGTCTCACACATTAGCCCCACGATAACTGCCCTCTTCCAAAATACCACGCACTGGAGTCAGATAGGGGACAAAGCATACAGGGCATTTGCCCAATCGAGCTGCACAACAGGCCTTGCAGAATTAATCCTTTGAGGGGACATCTTAAGCCTCATTCCTGTCAGCTTTCCAGGGGAAGCACCAAGATGGCTTAGGAGTTTTCCTTCCACTGACTTCCATTGAAACTGCAAGATCAGTCCATTTAAGCCAAATTTTCAACAGTGCCTACAATTTCTAAGGCTTTACTTGACAACATGTTGATAAATATCCCCTTGTCACCCTTAAGCAACAGTTGTCATCTGCGACTGCTCTCAGGACACCCACTTCAGCAAAGATGACCCTTTTCCTTCTGAACCGCAGTACTGGAGGTCCAGAACGTGTCTGCAGAGAACATCACCCTCTACTGTCCAGTTTCAGCTCTTTATGCCTTTTTTCCACTTATTTCTGTCTTCCCACACCTCCACAGTTTGAGGCCATCATGTTGTTTTCTTTAAACTACATTAGAACAGGAAAAAGATCTCTCAATAGCAATGACCTTTCTTTCTTGGGGGAAGTTGAAGGAAGAATGAAAGAGGAAATTCTATCCACAACTGAAAAGTGTGCCCAAATTAAATCACTTCTCTTCATTATTCATATAATTACTTGCATCTAGATCCAACAGACTCAAAAGCCATGCACATCACCAGGTTCATCAAAAGATAATTGAAATTTAGGACCAAGCACTTTAGCAATCAGACTCTACAGAGATAGGTGCTCCAAAGGTGCACGGATGAGACCATCCCTCCCTCACAGTTTCTGCTGCCACTTTACCCACACCTTTAGAACATCCATCACAAGGCACAGAAAGAATTTTAATGCCTCTAAAGTTTGAGCAAAAGGATTCTGTATATCCCTTGCTATATAATTAAGGACGTTTACAAGGTGTGGTCAACACAGCTGCTGTCATTAGTAACATAACAAAAGCTCTTCCTGTATCCATCTCAGTGACTAGCTTGAGGATGTATTCTATGCCTGAAATTCTCACCAGAGATGCACATGGAGTAGGCTTTTTGTAGCTTAAAAAAAAAAAAGAAAGAAAAAAAAGAAAGTTAAAAACCCAACACCTATTGCCTCACTGCCAAATGATGAAGCTGCCCAAGCAGTCTGTGTGGCACAGACCCACAGCTTACTGCTCTGCTGCAGCCATGCAGAGACAGGGAACCTGCAGTGCTCATACAGAGCTATATAAAATCATCCTGCACACCCAGTGCAAAACTATAAGACAGGGAGTCCTATGCAAGATCTAAAAAGCTAAAACTAAGAAGGCAGGGAAAAAAAGTGGACAGAAAGAGATAAGCAAAATGGAAGTATCCAGCTTTTCTGTCGGAGCTGATCAGAGGGGCTTACAGGAGCACTCCCACAACCCTCCTGTTCCCCACACTCAGTTCTCTGCTTGGGGAGCTAAAATCCGAAGTAGTCATTGCAGAAGAGTGGTTGCCAGCCCAGGAAGGCTCCCGGCCCGGTGAGAAGAGCTCACCACATCCCTGCCCATTTGCACTCAATCAAAGGCTCATTTCACAATCCTCACGGAAATCAGTGAACGAAGTAGGAAAGAAAGCTGGGATACATCTCTTGTGTTGCTCAGGCCGGCAGTCCCTTGGGAATGACAGTGGCCTCTGAGTGAGGGGGCAACGTTCTATTTTTAGCTTTGGGGAGTTAAGAGCAGAGACAGCCTTAAATCACGATCTGAATACTTTCTGCGGCTGTTTACCAGTTTCCTGTTTTCTTGTTACCAAGATGATGATCTTACACTGAGGGTTATTGGAAAGCCAGAAAATGAAGGACTGCAATTCAATTTTCTTACCTCTCCCACAAAAAGTAATTCAGCCTTTGAAGTGCTGAAAGAGGCTGAGGGGTCATTACTTGTCTCTGGGGTGCTCCAAAGGGGCAGAGCA